AGTGTTTTGGAGCCGAAATGGAGGCGGAGGCATGGATAACATGTAGGGTTGGTCGTGTGGTCTACTGTTTTGGGGTGTTAAATTTTTATTATCTCGTCGTTATACAAATATTTCGTTATAGGGGAGTTTGTTATACAGAAGTTTCACCGTAGTTATACAGGAGTTTGTTATAGAGGAGTGCTTTATATAGGAGTTCTTTATACATGAGTTTGTTGTATCGGAGTTCGTTATAAAGGAGTTTGTTAAGCAGGAGTTCGGTATACAGGAGATTGTTATAAAGTAGTTTACTATACATGAGTGATTTACAGAGGAATTCTTATAACAGGAGTTCGTTATTGATGAGCTCGTCATAGAGTACTTCGTTATACAGAAGTTTGTTATAGAGGAGGTTGTTATCCAGGAGTTTTTCATACAGGTCTTCGTTATACAGGGGTATCTTATAGATGAATTCTTATGCAGGAGGTTGTTATACAGGAGCAATTGGTGGAAGTGTTTGTTATACACGAGTTTGTTATAGGAGAGTTCGTTGTATAGAAGTTCGTTAGACAGGAGTTCGAGGGCCGGGCTGTATTGAGGCGAAGCGAATTTGTAAAGGACAGGGCCGATAAAATTGGGCCGGCTCTGCCTCTTTACAGTTCTACTAGGAAAATAAACGTGGCTTGCCTAGGCAGGTTAGTATACTTTTTCTGTATTTTATTTTTGTATTTGTATTCATAGACCTGTGCCAAAAATACACCTCATACCTCTAGTTAATAAAATAATTTTTCCATCCCACTATCGTAGCCATAACCCCGACCGTAGCGCAAATGCCGACCAAGTTGTGGGGCGAGCAGGACCACCCCATTAATATTCAATGGTATTTACTGGAATCCGCGCATGTCGTTTCATTCCTGAATGCCACTTGCATCTGTGCGTATTCAAATCAACTCGGCGGAGGTTGGTGTGTGATTGTGGCCGCGCTTTCCTGTCCGATCCATCCGGGTTTGTCGCCGCGACAAAAAATCGCAGATTGAGGAAGCAGCTTCACAAGCGCTGAAAGTTCAGCTGATCGATTGCGATGCAAATGTCTCAATCAAGCGACCGGGCAACTGGCTTTGGCAATTTTGGTTTTTTGGTCGTATAAGCTGTTAGTGGGGGGGGTTGTCGGCTTACTATTGGTGGGTTTTTCGATATGGCAAGATAGAGAAAAGTAAAATAATGCTAAGATGTGGTATGATAGGGTGATAGGGCAATGTAAAATTATGTAAAGCATGACATATTTTAAAGATATAGAGGGGGGAGAAGGGTAGGGTATGGAAAAGAAGGATAGGGAAGGGTATGATACAGCGAGATACCGCAACGTAGGATAGCGTAGGGCAGGGTAAGGTAAGGTAAGGTAAGGAGTGTAGGGTAGCGTATGGCAGATTAGGGGGTTTTAAGGCAGGGTTGAGTTGAGTATGGGTAAGGTTAGCTAGAGAACCGGTTTTTCAGTTCCAAAGTAGGAAACATTAAGGAGAACTTAATGTCTATTCTTGAGTTTTTAAATATTTTAATAATGACTACGACATACTTTGTGTAACGTTTTAAAATGGGCTGGGTCTTTTGTGTTTTTTACATTTTTTTATATTTAACCTTGTTTTAATTTTTCAAAAATCATTTTTGTTATTAAATCATCAGAAACCAATCTTCTCAATAACACACATCAATTCTCATAAAAACTCAAACTTTTTTTATTCCCAAAACTTTGGCCTGGGCCGTGTGACCAAAGAGGCGCGCGCTGATTGGCCGAATGCGCGGCTGTCGAGCTGTTGTAAAGTAAGGAGAGAGGGGGGAGACTGGCGCTTTACAGGCGGCTTTTATTGAGGCATGTCAAGAGGAAGAGGAGGGGGTGCGCAACTGGCCCGATTCGCCTCTTGATCCGGATTAGGGGCGCTGTAATAGTGGGCGTGGCTACAGTCCACTGATTTTTCTGGGATTTGATCAAGGATTTACATGAGGTGTTAATTGTGCATGGGTATCGTATGTTAATGGGGCGAGAATGTTTATTGTGGGGTAAACGGGCAGGGCATGGCAGAAGTTTGCAGTGTGGCATATGTAAACATTTTTCGAGAGTGTATGGTAGGGTAGGTCAAGATAGGACGGGGCAGGGCAATATAGGGCAGGGTAATGTAAGGTAGGTTAGGGCGAGATAGAGCAAGGTAAGGCAGGTTATGATAAGGTAGGGTAGGGTAGGATAGGGTAAGGTAGGGTAGGGTAGGGTAGGGTAGGGTAGGGTAGGGTGGGGTAGCGTAGGGTAGGGTAGGGTAGGGTAGGGTAGGGTAGGGTAGGGTAGGGTAGGGTAGGGTAGGGTAGGGTAGGGTAGGGTAGGGTGGGGTAGGGTAGGGTATTGAAATGTGTGGTAGGGTAGACTAATATCGAAGGTTGGTAGTGGTACTCTTGCAGTTTTAGTGGTACCGTAGTATAAACTTTTAGAATTTAATTGTACTTCTGGCACTACTAGGTCTTACTGTGTGATTTTTGGATTTTTCCAGTGATAATAGCTTTGTAAAGAAAGTTTGTCATTTTTCATTTTGTAAAGAAAGTTTTTGCCATTTTTTGCAAAAATTTCGTTTACTATTTTTTTTGTAAATAAAGTTCCTGCGTGACCTCGCATCAACTATCCGTATCAAGGACGTCTTTGAAATTTGGCCGGAACGTTGGCCAATAATTTTCGCTGATCAACTGCTAGACGAGCTGTCCTCAACAGCCGGTTGGACGTTCTTTCTCGGACAACGTTTGCAAAAAACGACTGGTAGTTGATTTATCTTTGGTCATACTTTAATGGAATGTTTTGTCTCTTTGTTGCATAGTGGTCTTTTTGAGTGATGAGAGAGTAAGGAAAGTGAGGAGAGGGCAGAAAAATGTAATTGTTGGACATGGAAAGAAAGTTCTGGCTACTCCAAAAATTGTTTCAAATTCCCGTTTTAATTGCACCGTGCAATCAATAATTCCGACTGCACAGTGCAAAAATTATTATTTTTTTTTAAATCTGTCATTTTGAATAACGTTTAAAGAAGATACTTCCACAACATTTAGTATATCGTGTTTTGAACATATTCAATGTCATTTAAGTTTGTCAGGTCAACAGATAAACCTACAATAAAATTTTAAAAATTGATTGCACAGTGCAAGCCGAAAAGGTGACTGCACCGTGCAAAAATTTACTTCTTATGTTTTGTAAAGAAAGTTCTTACCATTTTTAATTTTGTAAGGAAAGTTTTTGCCATTTTTTGCTTTGTAAAGAAAGTTCTTGCAATTTTTTGTGTTGGAAAGAAAGTTTTGACCATTTTCTCTTGTAAAGAAATTTTTTGCCATTTTCTGTCACGTAAAGAAAGTTCTGGCCATTTTTACCCAAACCCCCCCCCCTTCTCTGCCGTCTCTCACCGTTCCACACTCTCTCTTTTGCCTCTATTAACCTTGTTTCATATGACTCAAGTTTTTTCTTTGACGGCGATTGGTGCCATGAGCCGAGTGCCACGAGCACTTATTTTAAGCCTGGGCACATGGCGTGTCTCACCGTGCCGTGATGTTCCTTGATCTTGGGTCATTTGTCTGTCGTTCCATGAACCGAATTGCGAAATGATAGGGAGAAAAGTGCAAGAAAATGGACGAAAATGAGGGGGATTACTGTAGTTTTGGGCCGGAAAAAGGGCGAGAACTTTCTTTACATGATTTGAAATGGCAAGAACTTTCTTTACATGATTATAAATGGCAAGAACTTTCGTTACAAAACAAAAAATGGCAAAAACTTTCTTTACAAAACATAAAATGGCAAGAACTTTCTTTATAAAACATAAAATGGCAAGAACTTTTACAACACAAGGAATGGCAAGAACTTTATTTACAAAACAATAAATTGCAAAAACTTTCCTTACAAACTATAAGAAACCTTATTGTTTGCACGGTGCAGTCATTTTTGTAGGTTGCACTGTGCAAGCATTTTTCAAAATTTCATTGTGGTTTTATCTGTAGAGATGACAAAGTTAAATGACATTAAATGTGTTTAAAATACAATGTATTAAATGTTGTAAAAGTATTTTTTTTAAAAGTTTTTCGAAAATGGCAGATTTTAAAAAAATAAAATTTTTTGCATTGTGCAGTCGGAATTATTTATTGCACTGTGCAATACAAATGGAAATTTGAAATAAATTTTGAAGTGGGATGAGCGTTCTTTAAAAAACTAAAAACGGCGATAACTTTGTTTACAAATCAAAGAATGGCAAAAACTTTCTTTACAGAACAAAAAACGGTAGTAACTTTCTTTACAAAACAAAAAATGGCAAGAACTTTCTTTACAAAATCCGTAATTTACCAAAAGTATCAAGAATCCAGGAAATGATGATAATTTCCATGACATGAGGCGCTTATCACGTCTCATGATCTTGTTGTGATTCTTGTTTTCGCTTCCCATCTGATTTTTTCTGGCCAATTTTCGTTTCGTCACAGGGTTTTTGGCCTTTTGCAGTGACTCATACTGCAAATCGCGGCGTGTTAATTGTTTCAAACGTGCGGGAACTTTCTTTACATGCTTAAGAATGGTTGTAGCTGTCTTTAAAAGGCTTTAAATAGCAAAAACTTTTTTTACAAAGCTATAAATAGCAGGAACTTTATTTAAAAGGCTTAAAATGACAGTAACTTTCTTTACAAGGCTTAAAAGAGCAGGAACTTTTTTTACAAGGCTTAAATTAGCAAGAACTTTCTTTACAGATCGAAAAATGGCAAGAACTTTCTTTACAAGGCTTTAAGTGGCAAGAGCTTTGTTTAGAAATAGTAAATTTGTTGAAGGTGCAGCCTGCCGTTGACAAGTTATACGTTGAATATTTTTTTGTTTAGTAAAGGAAGTTCTTGCCGTTTTATGCCTTGTAAAGAAGGTTCTTGCCATTTTATTTACTAAAACTTTTTGTTTTTAAATTTTGTTGCGTGGAAACAAAGTTTCAGCATATTTTTAAAGCTTTTTATGAAGCTTGATGTGTTTTCAGAAGATGGAGATTGGATGTTGTTTCGTATGTAACGAATGTCCATTGAATTTCAAGACCCTAGGCGATTTGGAAGAACATCTACATGATCATCAGAAGTCCAAACCAAGCCAAATTCAGACTCAACTCGAAGAGAGTGAAGAGGTAGGTTACAAGTTTTTAATTTTTATGATAAAATGACATTGAGCTCGTCTTAATAACATTAGGCCGGGCTTAAATGGGCTAAAAGTTAATAAAACCGAAGTTTGTCGCTAGAAAACTTGAAAAATTGGCTAAAAATGGAATGTCTTGTTGAAAATTTGAATTGGAATGAAAGTTCTTGCAATTTTTTATATAAAACTTCATGCTTGTTTTGATGATTTTTGTCATATAAATGTTTATTTTTGCACGGTCAATTTATAAAACTTGCTGCACAGTGCACCCAATTTTAAATTTTTCTTGTGCCTTTTTTAGTTGACAATGATGAATAATATTTATAGTATCTTTTAAGTCATTCATTACACGTAATTTAAAATATATTTCATTTTTATTGCTTTGAAAATGGCAGTTGTAGAAGACTAAAAAAAATACTGCACGGTGCAAGATGCAATCACAAAAATCTTTTGCACCGTGCGATAAACTATACTTCTTGATAAGGCCGTTTTTGAGTGACATTGAAAGGTAATAATGATAGTGCATATAGAGTAGGTTCCTAGGCTTTTATAGAATTTTATTTCATTTTAGTAGCATTCGAAATGGCAGACTTATAAGGAGTTTTAAAATGCTGCACGGTGCAAGTCGAAGAAATTTTTGCACTGTGCTTAGTTCGTCTTTTACGTTTTTCTTGGGATAGAGGAGGGAGGGGGACAGGGACGTCACTAAAGATTTTTTGGAGGGGTTAGGTAGGGAGGGGGTGGATGGCATGATCCGGGGTGGATCCCATTTTTACAGGTCTAATTAAATCCTAATGTCTATATTTCAAACCAAAAAACTAAAAAGTTGTGTACAGTAACCCTTTGTGTTTACCCCACCTCTTCTGCCTTCCCCCCCCTGATTTCATGTGTTTAGACTAACTGTTTGGTCGAAAACAGTGTCTGCGCGAAAGAAGCCCAGCCAAAACAGAATCAATGAAAGTGCGTGCAAATAAGTTTGTGGCTAGATTTCGGAGAAAGGGGGGGGGGGGTTGTTATGCACAGGTCAAGCCTGTTTGTGAACAGTTTTGGTTGTTGTTGTTCGAGAGCTTTGGTTCCTGATTTCGAAGGTGTTCTTTGGGTATAAAGTGACGTTATGAAATTAAAAAAATTAAAATGTTGGGTTTGGAAAGAAAGTTTTTGCGATTTTTTGGCTTTGGAAAGAAAGTTTTCGCGATTTTTTGGCTTTGGAAAGAAAGTTTTTGCCATTTTTTGTTCCGGAAAGAAAGTTCTTGCCATTTTTTGATTTGTAAAAAAAGTTCTTGCAATTTTATAATTTGTAAAGAAAATTCTTGCCGTTTTTTGTTCTGGAAAGAAAGATTTTGCAATTTCTTGCTTTGTAAATAAAGTTTGTGCCATATCTTAAATTTTAAAGCAAGTTCTTACTGTTTTGTTATTTGTAAGCAAAGTTCTTGCTATTTTCTGTTTTTGTAAAGGATGTTCTTGACAGTTCTTTCTAAAAAAGCCAATATTACTGTCTTGCAGCCTGCAGGTGACATGTTATACGATGAATAACCGTTTTGTATGCTGTAAAGAAAATCTTTGTTATTTTGAACCCTATGTAAGAAAATTACCGTATACTGCAGTACCCTTTCCCCCTCTCCTTCCCCCCCCACCAAACGTTGTTTACGCCCCTCAAACTTTGTTCGTATGTTCGCTCTTATGTGATGCTATGGCCATGTGTAATATGGGCCAAGAAGATGTTCGTGTCACCTGGAGCCAGCGCGAACCCGATCTTTCGCTGCCTTTTTGTTGTTGATCCACCCACCCCCCCCCCGTTCAGCCGCGCCTGTTTTGCGGTTTGACCCCTGCGGAAATTGTTTATCCGCTGCGGCCGAAAGCCAGTGTAAAGTGGTTTACGGCATGAATAATATACCGAGAGATCGGTTTCATTGATCTTTCGCTTTAAATTTGTGGGAATGGCAACAACTTTCTTTACAGATCGAAAAATGGGAAGAACTTTCTTTACAAACCATTAAATCCGAAAAGACATCCTTGGTAACATCTAAAAATGTCTTTTTTTACTGTAAAAGCCACCATTGCACCGTCCAAAGTGATAATTTTTTTGTTGCACGGTGCAATATTTTTTAAAAGCTTTATACAACTGCCATTTTTAAAGATACCAAATTGTAAATACAGTATATAGGTGCTTATTTACTTAGTTCAAAAGGTAATATATGCCTTTTTGTTCAAGGTTGATTTATAAAATGGCATTATGAAAAAAATAAAAAATACTGCACGGTGCAATAGAATTTAGAAGTTGCACAGTGCGGAGAAAAATGTAAAATACGGTATTGTTTCTGGAGCTAAAATAAATAAAATATTATAAAAAGCAAGAACTTTGTTTACAAAACCAAAAATGAGAAGAACTTTCTTTACAAAATATAAATGGCAAGAACTTTCTTTACAAAACAAAAAATGGCAAGAACTTTCTTTACAAAACAAAAAAAATACCGCAGCAAACATTGCTAAAGTGAGATGACGTTTCATCGAAGAACTCGTGTATCATTAACAAAAGAAGCGACAGCGCTTTGCCTCGAACTCAAAAGGCAAACGGAACTAAGCGATTGTAAATTAATATCTGCTGTTGCTAGCAGTAATAAGAAGCTCAAAAGGGGTCATAGGTTGGATAACATAACATAGTAGCATGCTCTTACTTATTTACTTTTTTCTTCATTTTTTATGTTTGATCATGTCAAGGGTGGTGACTTTTTGGGCTGGAAAGTTGGTTTTTGAAGGTTATGGAGGGGTGGAGAGAGTAGAGTGGTCATTTTATTGGTTTTTAATCAGGTTTGGACGCTAGGAAGGGCAGGTTATAGAGCTGAAATGGCTTTTATAGGGCAGGGCACGGAACTACAATATCTTTTATTGGGCTTGGCATAGCAGGGGCAGTGCAGGACACGAAATTGTAAAGAAAGTTCTTGCCATTTTTTGTTTTGTAAAAAAAGTTCTTGCCATTTTGTGGCTTTTAAAGAACGTTCTTGCCTTTTTTCTTTTTTGTAAAAAAAAGTTCTTGCCACTTTTTGTTTTGTAAAGAAAGTTCTTGCCATTTTTTGTTTTGTAAAGAAAGTTCTTGCGTTTTGACAAATTTAAAAAAATTTAAAAACTTAACATTATTGAAATAAAAAAATATGTTAAAATATTCAAAGTATATTATTTTGATTGACGTATTTTACTATTACTACTCTTTCACATGCACTACTGTATTTTAAGGAGCAAATGTGGGAATTCTGTAGATTTTAAAATTTATTCTGAATTTTTATGTTATACATAAGCTTATTGTATGATTCTATATTTGCTTAAAATGTCAAATATTTTACTGCACGGTGCAATAAATAAGTGTGCACCGTGCAGTCAAAAAGTTTTTTTTGCACCGTGCAACAAATATTCTTTTTATCGCTGCGCAATTTTTAACAAATTTTAGGTAACAAATACTATTTTAATATTTAGTAAGTACCTATAAAAAACTATTAGAATCATTTGCACATTGATTGCTTTATAATGAATGGCACAATAAATTTTTGAAAAATGGCTGCACAGCGCAACAAATTTCTGTTTGGAGCTGTGCCATTCGTAGCTTATTTTACGTAACAAAAACAGTGGGACTATTTAACAGGTACTTATAAAAAGCTATTAAAACGGTTTTTACATTAATTGCTTTATAAAGAATGGCACAATAAATTATTGAAAAATGATTGCACCGTGCAATCTAAAAACTTCATTGCACCGTGCAGAGGGAAAAAATATTTAAATTTATTGTTATATTATTCATAAACATCTTCTATGTCAATAATGTGTAAGGTCAATAATTTATCAGACTACATGACCCATTACGACATATTGTGTTATAGTAGGTATTAGATATGGCTAATTAGGCAGTTTGGCCCATTGATCCCAAAAAGTGTGAAATCCCGCTGACTTTGGCTTTGTTTAAACGGGCGAAAGCAAATACAGGCTTGTTTTGACGCGTGGTCCAAAAGTTTATGCACACAGAGTGATGGGCAGGCCATGTTCAGCCTAACTTGATCGTGTTTGGGTATGTAAAGCAAGGCTGGGCGGGTAAATAATGGAAAAAGCTTGTGAAATGGCATTAAAATACCCTTACAATTCTTTAAAATGGCAAGAACTTTTTTTACAAAACATAAAATTGCATGAACTTTCTTTACAAAACAAAAAATTGCGAGAACTTTCTTTATAAGGTCATAAAATCAAAAAATTAATCTTTGATGTCATTTAAAAACGTCACTTTTACTTCAAAAACTAACATTGCACCGTGCAAAAAAATTAGTTCGTTGCACGGTGCAACATTTTTTAAAAGCTTTATAAAATTTTCATTTTGAAGTATAGCAAATTATAACTACAGTATCTCGATGTTGTTTACTTACTTAATTTAATGTAAGTGATTTAGTTTGAAGTTGATAAAAAATGGCAGTATAAAAAATAAAAAAATATTGCACGGTGCAGTATAATTTGGATGCACGGTGCGGTTAAAAAATGTAAAATACGCTATGGCATGAAGAAAAAATAAAGATTGTTAAAAAATGCAAGAACTTTCTTTAAAAAACAAAAAGAGGCAAGTACTTTCTTTACAAAACAAAAAATGGCAAGAACTTTCTTTACAAACCAAAAAGTCATAAAAATTTTTTTGAATTAGGTATAAAACCCTACCTGAAAAAACAGCTAAAGATCATGCTTGTTTGCGACAATAAAAAGCGTTCCAAACGTGCCGAAAAAACGTTGGCCGTGATTGTCACCGGCCCCGACCCCCCAGGCGTTTTTTATGCGATTTTCGAGGCTTAATTCGATCCAAACACATTGCCAATAATTAAAACAAGTTTATTGGTCATGAAAAATGGAGTCTAGTGGTGGAAAGAAAGTTCTTACTGTTTTTTATTTTTTAAACAAAGTTCTTGCAATTTTTTGATTTGTAAACAAAGTTTTCACCATTTTTTATATTTATTGCATTAAACTGTCATTTCACTAACCACTATTTATCATCGTAACGCTTTACTCATAAAATATGTCATGATGACACATTTCTAATGCGTATCATAATGACGAATATTATGAATACTGGGCTTTTTAATTAAGTTTTTGCCATTTTTAAGTTTTTTAGTTTCTTTATTTTGAAATTTATGTCATGATGACTTGTTTTATATAAAATGTTTCATGATGACACATTTTTCTATTAAATATTTCGTCATGACATTTTTTTAAAGTTTAATTTTGAATTCATATAGACTAGAAATCAGATTTTTTGAAATTAAGTCATGATGACATATTTTCCAAAAAATTTGTGTCATGATGACATGTTTATCTATAAAATAAATTACTATGACACATTTAAAAAAAAGTTTTATTTTGCAGTAATAATAGCATAGAATTTTTTTTTTGAAATTAATTATGTCATGATGATCTATTTTATAGAAAATAGTGTCACGATGACATATTTTCTATTTAACAAAACGTATGTCACAATGTCATATATTGCCATTCTTTATCACACACTCTCGATTATCACGCTGTTCGGGAACTTTGCCCTGTCGAAAGTGAACGCCCTGGCACGGTTCCCCCCTCCTCTCGTGGCTCGCGGCTCTGGCCATTGCGATTGGCCACGCCCTTTCGTCTTGTTCGTTCGCTTCGTCCTCAAGGGCGGGTTAAAACCGGCATGTTTCCGTCTTGAGGAATGGCGGGAGCTGGCTGTATTTGTAAAGTTGTTGGCAAAGGGTATGGTAATCTTTAATAATGTTGGGCAGTGTGGTGGTTTAAGGATGGGCAGGTTTTGGGGGTGGTAAATTTGATTTGTGTTGGGCAGGGTATTTCACGGTAAGACAGGGTAGGGTATGGTAAGGTATCGCAAGTAGGGTTTAGTTTTAGGCGTAGGGTAGGGTAAATCACTATTTTTTCTTTTGGGGGTGATAAAGAAAATTTTATTTTTGGGCGGGGTAAATAAAATTTTTAATTTAAAAAAAACGGCAAGAACTTTCTTTCCAAAGCAAAAAATTGCAAGAGTTTTTTTTACATAACGAAAAATGGCAAGAACTTCCTTTACAAAACAGAAAATGACAAGAACTTTCGTTACAGCATGTGAAACGCCATTTTAATTGATTGTATGCTATGTATGTCGTATTTTACTTTTTATCGCGGTAATTTTGATAACTTCACCTTATTTTTCGTATTTTAGAAAAGTCTAGTCAATAACCAACTCTTTGGTTAAAAATCTAAAGTCTCAAGCCTAAACCCACAGCCTAACGCTGACAATGTTAAACTATCTTCAGCCAATGGACGATCAGATGATAGTCGAGTCCTCATCCTCACCCACCTCCTCCATCTCCACCAACTTCGACGACCTCTTCAAATCCGACCAGATCGCCTGCAGACTGTGCCAGAAACAGTTCACCGACCGTGATCAACTCAACGTTCACTACACCCACACCCACCGTGACAAGCCCCAGTACGAGTGCGAGATTTGTCATCAGGTCTTTGGCATCAAACGCGAGCTCTCGACCCATCTCAGGACTCACAGTGGCGAACAACCTCACAAATGCGACAAATGTGGCAAAGAGTTTGGTACCAGGCAGTTGTTGAAGAAGCACGACATGTGGCACACTGGTCAACGAAGTCATGTCTGTGAAACTTGTGGCAAAGCCTTCTTTCAGGTGGGTTACTGAGATTTTTATAGGCTTGGAGCGATTTTACAGGGGGTTCTTGAGGTTTGAAGCCATTTTTTGGTCGATTTTAAGCTGATTTTCAAAAATTTTGTGAAACGGACATGTAGAGAACACTTTGAAGTTTAATTTGAAAAAGTTTGAATTTTTAAATTTGGTCGATTGTAATCAGTTTTGACTAAAAATGGCCGATTTTTCTCGATTTTTAGCATCTTTTGAGGAGTTGATCAAGTTTGAGGTTGATTTTTGGTCGATTTTAAGCTGATTTTTAAAAATTTTGAAAAACAGACATGTGAAGAACACTTTAAAGTGCAATTTTAAAAAGTTTGAATTTTTACATTTGGTTAATTTTAATCAGTTTTGACCAAAAATCACTGATTTTTTTCGGTTTTCGGCCTTTTTTGGGGAGTTGATCTAAAATTGAAGTTCATTTTTTGAAATTTTTGAGTTGCAATTTTTAAATTTGTTGAATGTAAACGGTGCAAAAGTCTTTAGAATTTAATTTTCAAATAGTTGATTTTCTGTATTTTGAAAATTTTTTTCATTTTGATTGATTTTGTCCAAAAATGCTTGATTTTTTAAAGTTTTTGGGGAGTTGATCAGGTTTGAAGCTGATTTTCGAATTGTTTTGAGTAGAAATTTTAAAATCTTTTGTACTATAAAGGAGTAGAAGACTTCAAACTTTAATTTACATAAATTTGATTTTGCAAATTTCATTTATTTTGATTAGTTCTACCCAATTTTCGACCAAGAATGATCGATTTCTATTGATTTTTGCTGTTTTTGTCACGTTTTTTGCCATTTTAAACAAGACTACCTATTGTTTTTCGTAGTTTTTGATACTTCAATGTTGCAAAATACAAAATCTATAATTTGTTTACAATCCCGCCAATACGGTGGCATAATATTATTGTATGACTAATTTTCCCGCCGATTTCGATCATTTTGCACTGTGAGTCAGAGCCTAAAAATAAAGCAAAAATTGGATAAACAATGTGTTTAAACCACTTTAACATGGCTGGAAATGAACTGTAAACATGATTTAGACGGGTTTTTGAAATTTTTTAAAAATTTTGAATTTTGAAAAAAAAATTTTTTTTTGAAAAAATTTTTCATTTTTTTTTAAATTTGTAAAATCTTTAAAAAAACGATCAAAAAACGTATTTTACAAAAGTTAATTTCAGAAAGGTCACCTCACCCAACACCTGATGATCCACAAAGGTGGTCGACCTCATAAGTGTGCACTGTGCGAGAAAACCTTCATTTTCAAGTTCGACCTGAACCGCCACATGAAAATCCACGCCGAGCGTGGCCATAGCTGTCGTGTGTGTCAAAAATCATTCGCATCGCAACTCGAACTCGAGAATCATGCTTGTCGCCGAAGCCCGAAGCGCGAAAACACCCCCTTATCAGACGTGTCGCGGCTGGACTCGACCTTCTCATCGCCACTTCAGAACAGCCCATACAATGGTGCCAAATCGAGCTTGAGTGAACGTGATGTGAACCAGTACCAGTTGAAGTTGGTGCAATTGATGGTGGCAGCTCAACAACAACGGCTTTTACAGGCGGCCAATGAACAACAACAACGAGTGTTGCAGGCTGCTTTTGGGCAAATGGTACAACAACAGGGGGCTCAAAATGTGCAGAATGGTATTGGTGCTACTTTGAATAGTCAAGCTGGAATTTTTGGTACTCAAAGTGGTCTACAAGGAGCTCAAAATAGCCTACAAAGAGCTCAAAATGGCCTTCAAACCCCGCAAAATGGTCTACAAACCCCTGTTAATGGTCTTTTTGGTATCCAAAACAGCCTGCAACGACCTGAAAATACTACTCAAAATACACAAGATGGCCTTCAGAATCCTCACGATGGTCTACATGGTCTTTTTGGTTCTCAAAACCCACTTCAAATTGGCCAAAATCTCGAAAAACGCCCGAAAATTGAACAAAACGATCAAAAGCTCAATGATGACACTTTTCAACACGACCAAAACACCCTTCAAAATGTGCCACAGAATCTCACCGTCAACGCTGATAACGATTTGAGCTTGCAAAATTTGCATAAACATCTAAAAATGGGCGTAGAAGGCGACGAGGTCAATGGACTGCACGGTGCAAACGACAAATTTGGCTTGCACGGTGCAGACCTTCAGAAGCTCCAACTCGGCCTCCTTCTACAACAACACTCCTGCACTTTATGTGGACAACAGTTCGAGAACCAACAAATGCTTGCCATTCATGTTCAAATGCACCAAATGTCAGCTGATGACAAGCTGATCAACATGAGCGAAAGTGGCACAAGCTCCTCATGTGCTTCGAGGTAAGTACAAGTTCGGGACGCAGCTCTCGGTAACATGAGCTGAAAACGAACTTGACAGACATTTTTCGCTAGCTCAAATGAACTTTTAAATACGTTTTTTTAATGATTAGGCATGAGTTTTTAGGGGTTTTTCGGAAATGTGGACGAAGTGTCACAAAATAGAACATTTGATTATTGGGATTAAAAGCGATTTTAAAATGCTTGAAATTGATTTAAATGTGATAAAAAAGTATTATATGACGAAATGTCAATAAATATTTTTTCGATAAATTTTGTGACATTTCGTCAATTTTTTAAAAAGAATGTAAAGCTTTTAAAAAATGATTTAAAACCAGTTTTAAGGGGTTTTTAAGTGTTAAAAATGCCTATACGGTACAAATTTTTTTCCAATAATTTTTGTGACATTTCGTCAAAAAGGTGAAAAACCTAAATATTCATAAAACTTGTTATATAGTTAGATTATATGTTGCAAATAGCTTATTTCTTTATTTTCAGTCCACAAAAGGCCTCTCCAGTGTCTGTGGTATGTTCAGAATCGGATCATATGTCCTGCGACGGCTGCGTGGAGATGAAGTCAAAGTGTTATTCATTGGAGAAAGACCTGTCAAATGCCCAGGGTGAGGTGGCTAGACTGAAGGAATTGATTTCGCGACTCAGTCCGTACTTGGCCATGATTAACTCGAATTGAAAAGTCTGCTGTATGCTACAGTAATAGCCGATTTGTTGGTTTTCTGGATAGTGTACGACTTTTGAAGGGCAATTTGGTTACAGTAAGACTTTGATTGGATCAAATGTGGATACAGCATGAATTTAGGTTCTATTGTGAATCTTGTTTAGTGACCAGTAATTAAGTTTGGTCTTCAGAAACGTCTGATAACTGGATTTATATTGTACTAGACTCTACATAAAACTGGCTATGGTCAACTTTAAAGGTCTACAGTATTCTTTTCTTATTTTCAATATTTCTAAAATTTTTACAGTAACTCAGCCAGAATTTTGGCTGCCGAAAAATATCTATTATAGGCATTTTCCTATTCAACTTGTGTTATAAATGGCATTTTACTCAAAAATTACCTACATTTCTACCATAATCCTCTATTTTTCTGCAAAAACTTACAGTAATCCTCCAAAAAATTGTTGGCACACAACATTTCCTACTCTTATAATCTCATAGTCGTTTGCTCTCGCCATTTCCGTTCTGCATTCCAATATTTGCATACACTTTTTCTCTGTGCACTCTCTCTGTTCGTCGCACTCTCTCACCTCAGAAACCCTTTGTGAATATTACCTAATGTTAGCATAATATATACGACAATATGTTGTTCTAATTTTTATTCATTAGCCATGTATATGTTTACATTACACATAATTTTAATATAATTATCCAAAAATTGGATGAAATGTCACAAAAATCAATAATGTGGCGAAATGCCACTTTTTTGACATTTTGTCTAAACTAACTTTAAAAATTGTATTTTGTAAGCTAATTATTGTTACACTACTACTAATCTACGTTGTAATCAACCATGGGTCTGACACTCAACTACCACAATCTCAACTATGTGCCTTCTCGATATACCATGTATAATATAATAATATATTGCCATAATTAACCGTTTGCTCATCGCATATACCGTTTTCATTCATTGTTACTGCATAATAAACATAATAAAATAGATTTTGGTGTTTTTTGTGGGAAAGGGAGAGGGGGTGGAAAATCCGATATTTTTTGTGACACTTCGTGTAGAAAAACAGGGTTTTCATGGGTTTTTTTATGTTTTTATTTACTTAATTGAAGAATTTTTTAACAAAATATTTTTCCAATAATTTTTGTGACATTTCGCAACATTTGTAAAAAACTTGGCAAAATGTTAAATTTTCACCAAAGTTCTAGTTTCTATACGAACATACGACGATGTTCGTGTACATGACCTTAATAAACATAAGCTGAGGGAGTGTATGCAGATTAAGCGACAAGTGGCAAGCAACTTCTTCGTCTCGAATGACCGTTTAAGACTTTGTTTACACTTGACGATCGGGCATGAACCGGATATCTCGGGGCTTATATTATGGAAAGGCAAATACGGTAGGTTCAGCTTGAGTGTAAAGAAAGTTTTTCCGGTTAGGTGGAAGAAGTTGTACAAATAAAAAAAAAATTGTTCTGGAAAGAAAGTTCTTGCCATTTTTTTGTTTTGTAAAGAAAGTTCTTGCCGTTTTTTGGTTTTTAAAGAAAGTTTTTGCCATTTTTTGTTTTCTAAAGAACGTTCTTGCCATTTTCATACTTAATTCAATAAAACTGTCATTGCACAGTGCAAAACTATATAATTATATTGCACCGTGCAACACATTTAATATTTTGCAGGTGCAATGATTTTTTGAAAATTCACTGTGCCATTATTTTTCAAGCATCCGAAGTAAAAATGGTTTTAAAAGCTTTAAGTTAGTTCACACTAAAAGTATAATAGTATTTGTTACCTAAAATAGTTTAGAAATGACACAGTGAGAAAAAGAAAATTAATTGCACCGTGCAAGAAACTTATGTGATTGCACGGTGCAATGAAGTTTTGTTTTGTAAAGGAAGTTTTAGTCATTTTTCGCTTTGTAAAGAAAGTTCTTTCCATTTTTTATAAAATTCATGCACTAATGACAATATTTTTTGTATGTCCACCTACTTCAATACACACCCATCTTGACAAGGCTAATCAAAAAGGAAGCGACAGGTCAAGAAGCGGTTCAAGGCGGATCATTTACCATAGCGGTCTCTCTCCAAAAGGGCATGTTTGGACAAAACACGGTAAATGATTGGACATACGATACGCATACAAGAGTGCTTATGGTTAATAGAAGGCGTCTTTCAGGTATAATTTTTCGATATCGGCAGAAATTTTAAAAAAGTGGCAAAATTTTTGAAGTTATCAAATAAAAAATGGCAGAAGCTTTGAAAAACGTATAATAATCAGCAAGATCATTAAAAAGCATCAAATATAATTAAAAAAAGGTTATGTAGGTAGATCTATCCCCTACTTCCTATTTACATGCGGACATCTTTCATCGTATAACTGCCTTCGGACGCAGTCGTTTGCGCTCAGAAGCTGTTTTAGATTCCAAGAATTGTTCTTGTTGCCTTTTCTTCGATTTTAGTTGGAAGTTACCTTGATTTCAGCATGAATTTAGATAAAATATATATATAATTAATATTTTTAATTTTTTTCTTATAAAGTTTCTCGAAAAGTCCGTTTCATTGAATAACTTTTATGTCTTGATTAACATTGCGTTTATATTGTTTTACTGCATGAAATAAATCATTTTGTGGCAAAATATACGTTAAATAGGGCTCAGTTATCTAGTTGCAATGTTTTAGAACGAAGAAAGTGTTGGAAAAATGGACAATTTTTGAGTTATGGGCTGAAGGACATCTTCATCAAGCCGAATTTGGACAATGTTGGGAAAAAGAGGTCAGAAAAGGGCAGATCTTAAGTCAAATACGATGAAATGCAATTAATCAGAAAAGAAATAAGTTATTTTACTTGTGAGTTCTATTGACTGATTAGTTTTTTTTGTTTTTAGGACAGTTTGAGGAGGTTCATCTTCACCAATGCGAACTTTGGTGAAGCCGACGGAAAGTGGTCAGAACAGGCCAGATACTAGATCAAATAAGATTCAATATGGTTAATTAGAAGCAGGATACGTTATTCTATATGTGAGTTTTATGTTTTGTTTGTTTCTTTCATGTTTAGGCAATTTGGAAGAGTTTTGTCTGCTTTGGACATCAGGTCAATGGTTAATATACTTTTGACGGATTTTGTATTTTTTAGGAAAACCTTATGGATAGTTATTTGGAAGCGAGTGTAAAAGACTATGGAGGAAGTTGTGAGCTAAAAATCTAGTTAAATAGGCCGCTTTGAAATTCACAGGTGACTTTCGAAACAATGTTGATATAGGTGAATGGAAGATGATCGTCAAGTCCATTTTATAGTTGTGTAAGTTTATTTTCTTGTGAATATTGAGGATTTTGAGGTCTTGTTGTTAAGGCAATGAGTTTTTATACAACGCCTGGTCAAAATTTACGTTTTGGATTGATATTATCCATGATTCTTTGATGTCATGGATAATACAATTTTTATAAGCTTGGAGCTTGTTGTTGAAAACAAGACAACTTGTAGACAATCTTAATAGTATTCAGCATATTTTAACAACAAATTTTTGGTTTTGAGGTTCTTTTGATAATGAGTTCAATCAAGTTAGTTATGACTTTATTTTCCAAGAGTCAATAAGTTGATGGAAGTAGACATCAGTTTCTGTTTTGTTGTCTTTTATGATGGCTGGATGCACTTTGATTTGGGTTCTTATTACTCCAAACTTGTAGAAGCCGTAGATAAATGAAAACAAGGTATATAGAGACACCATTAGATAATCTATCTGAAAAATTTCAATAACTCTTTCCAAAACAAGAAATTGCAATTACTTTCTTTACATGTTAGAAAATTGCAAGAACTTTCTTTACAAAACAAAAAATGGCAAGAAATTTCTTTCCACTTACTCTCATTGAAAGTTGAAAGGTTTGATACCAAAAAATGTCTGTCTTATCGTAGATAACAACATACAAGGTTACCAGTTCAGTCGGAATTGTGATGATATTAAGCACGACATTCGCCTTCAGCACTGGCCACATAATTTCGGCGATTTTTTGACTTTGATTAATTTCAAAACTCTCACTCAAACTTTGGCTTCGGATTCGATGGTATGATAGTACTCCACGGGCATTGTGAAAGAACTAGAATATTAATGACGATTTGGTTTTTATTGTTTTTTTGTGACGGAATGTCAAACTTGATTTTTTTCTAATATATTTTGTGACATTTCGTCGTAACTTTAAAAATGAGTTACAATGGTTTTTATTGATTTAGAGTAGTCTAAAATGGCAATTAATGAAATTTTAGATAAATAATATTTTCCGATAATTTTTGTGACATTTCGTCACAGCTCCAAAAATGCGTTTCATACAGTTTTATTTGGTATTTTAGGTCTTGGAACGTTAAAACAAACTTTTTTACTAAAAGTAGTTTTCCGATAATTTTTGTGACATTTCGCCAAATGTTTTCATACTAACGTATTTTACATAAAAATTAAGTTGTAATAAAGAACAAATCGTACCCAAATGCCAATAATAAGTGATGAGTGATGCATAAAATAGCAGAACAGTAGGTATTTTGGCGATCTGACTAGTTCGGCCGCTGTTTGCAGTCTTTCTGGTATTGTTTCGTCAGTGTCGTAGATGAGAAAGAGGACTATTTTTATGACAATGGCCAGAATCGTTATCAAAATCTGAAAAATATGAAAAATTATGGTTTGTAAAGGAAACTCTTGTCAGCTTTTGGCTTGTAAAGAAAGTTCTTGTCATTTTATCCTTTTTATGGAAATTTCTTGCCTTTAAAAAAAACTTACAATGCTAGCCAGTAGCTTCATTGCCGCTTTATTACTCTCATGTTCGTATGATCTTCGTCGAACAAAGGCTAAAATACGTTCGGCCGACAAGACCACGAATTTTAAGAGCAAAATTTGCATTGTGAACAAATTGAGATAGTCGAAAGTTAATGTTAGAATGAAGAAAAACGTAGGAAATTTTGTAGTTTGTGACAAAAATTCGAGAAATTCGGCCATAGGGTGGAGGATTGACGAACAGCCGATTATTAGGTTTAGGCCTACCTAAAAGATTTTTTATTATTTGAAAAATAGAATTTTTGTTCAATTTGAAGAAGCTTTTACATGGCGTGGTTTAATTTTATGAAGGAACTTAATATTTGATTAGGCTGATATGTTTCCAATAATTTTTGTGACATTTCGTCATAACTTTAAAAATAAGGTAAAATGTATTGCTGATGCATGAATATGTTATAAATGACAAAATGTAGGGATTTTAACCATAAAAATGTTTCCAATACATTTTGTCAAAACTTTTGAAGTTTTTATACCAAAAGCTTATGTTTACAGCACTTACATAAGTCTGTCTGAAGCTCTTGTGATAGGATTGTAACTGCCAAAACGCTTTTAAATACACGTAATTCACCATTACCATGGTACAACCGACTAATAATTCACTATACACAACAATGTTTGAGCTCAATCTCACAATTTTTAAATTATACAACTCTTGTGTAGTCATAGACATGGTTGGTTAATATAGGATCTAGAAATGAGCAACATTGACGAAATTTAAATGCCCGCCATAGAGTTAAAAATGAATACATTGAATTACAGCCATAGTTGGGGCATTGGTCAAGAGGGGGGGGGGTGTATGTTCCTCTTTATCATTCTATCTGCCCTTGCTCCGTTTTAGCCCTGCCTTAGTTTTTTAGGTTCTAGCCCTAGTCTTGCCGTAGCTCGGTTTTATCCCTCACCTAGTCCTGCGCCAGCCGTATTTTTTTAAATTTTGGCTGTGCCCTAGCCCTGCTTAAGTTGTGCTTTATTCCTATTTTAGCTTTACCCTTGCCTTACCAAAGCCAAACCTAAACCCTGCCTTCAGGGCCGGACAGGGACTTTTGGTCTCGCGCCCGGCCCTGTCTGCCTTACTTTAGCTCTGCCCTGCGCTAACCGCATCCTACTCTAGCCCTACACCAGCACGACTCTAGCACTGTTTTTTTAGAAAAGTAGGGAACTTTATAGTAGTGCTTTATCTTTATATAACAATATACGATACCAAAAGTTTAAAAAATAAATAGAAAAATAATTAAGGATTAGTGTATCATCAAGTAACATATCATTTTGGGTATACTAATGAGCAAATAATACAATTTCAAAATGTTTTTATTGACGGTAAATGTGGGCGTAATCATGTGATAATTAAACTGTATATGCGAGTAATGCCTACTACAACATTTAAAATGACATTTCCTAACGTTAAAGAAACAAAACTAGATAACTGCATGATACTATGACGAGTAGTATCATGCACATTTGTTTATACATAAAGAAAACTTTTTTTTCTGTAAATTAGCTTTAGTATAACAAAAATAATTGGCGTTTTCAACCAAAAATTACTGCTAATACGATAATAAGTAGTGTTAAGCACACAGTAAGTACTACTCTTGTATGACGCCGGTAGAAAACATACATATAAGGGTGTTTATGTTTATTAATTAACCTTTGCATAATTCGCTCTAGCCGTTCCCTGCGCTTTCTAATTTCCTTACCACTAACTTACCCAACCCCTACCCCAATTTCTAACCTTACCCCTACACTCATCTACCCCTGTACCTAATCTTATCCCTAGCCCTGCCACTACCCCTACTTTACTCTTAACTCTACCTTTACCCCTATTCTTAAACCTACATATACCCCCAACATATTTCAACCCCTACTTTTACTTTTACCCATATCTTTGCCACTACTCCTAGTCCTGCTTTTAGCCTTGTCTTGTAGTGACCTTATCGTACTCTACTCCTACCTTAGAGGTACAGTAGGCTTATTACAGTTTACCTTTGCCCTTTCTTCGCCCATGCTCTATTGTTTTTGTTTTATCAGCGAACAGAATGTGATAGTCCAAGGGCGAAAAAAGGGCATAGGTAAACTATGGTTAGCTTGCTGTATCTCTAAGGTGGGAGTAGGATACGGTAGGGTTTCTTCTCCTTAGGGCTTGCTCTCACTCTCGGTCTATCGTAGCCCAAGAGTAACAGCAACGCAGGGCAGCTCTAGCTGACATCTACCTTTCATACCTCATTGGTATACGTTTGAAGATTTAATGATGATCCTAGTTACATTAACATTGATAGTTAAAAAAAGAATAGCAGATGAATTTTATCAACCTTAAAATTACTGTAGTAAAGCCAACGAACTACTCTAATATAGTGAACCGATTTATACCTTTACAGATTTTAAATAGTGAAAAAGTGCATCTTAGCACGTTTATCGCATGATCTTTTAGTACTGTTGAGGATAATAATATATCAGACATAGACTATTCCCTCTCTTCTACGTTTTTTTCTTATTCGCACTATCCTCACGCCTTTTTTATGACCTAATTAATATAAACGTATATATGTTATGACAATAGTAAAAACCGTTTGTTGCTACAACGTATTAGATAACTTAATAATATATATTTTTCGCCTTAATACGATTTTAGGCGAAGTACGTAGAAAGTACAATGTAATTTGTTAGCGTGATACTGTTTTGAAATAATGAAACAACTTAATTACATGGATGAAAAAAAAATCGAACTTTCTGGGGTATTAGCATTGTACTTTAAATCTATTTTGGAAGCCCGCACATCTCAAGCTTAATTTTTTTGCACTGTGCAATCAAAAATTTGGTTTGCACGGTGCAATAAACTTTAAATTTGCACTGTGCAAAAACTGATTTTAGTTTTTGAATGAAATCGGTAAGATATACTCTAAACGCCCTTAAAATGTGTTTTAAGCTATAAAATTTTATATGCTTCTGGTAGAAAATATTAGAGTGACGGTTTTTAAAACCTGCACTGTGCAACATTAAATTTCATAAGTGTTATCCTTTTTTGACCAAATTTATTCTAGTATATTCTAAAACTAGTTTGACATATTAAATTTGTTCAAAAAATTTTTTATAAAATAATTTCTGCACAAGGTTGGGTATAAATTGGCATTTTAAATTTTGTTTGTCGCATCGCGCAGAATTTAATTTTTTTTATTTTTTGTAAACTTACATATGTCTGTCTGAAGCTTTTGTGATAAGCATTTAGGCGCCAAAACGGTTTTAAATACTTGAAATTGACAAAAACAATGGCACAACCGCTTAAAAATTCGAGTATTACTGTAGTTGTAGACAACATTATTAGTATTTGAAGACGGGTATCTCCAGTTGGCATAACAGACGTTACTTATACATAAAGACAGGGTCACTTTTTCGTGGCAAACATAACCTTTGGTTATCTAAACGTAACTGATAATACAATAATATCAACTGTTAAGTACACTGTAAGTACGTACTCTAGTATGACGCGTGTAGTAAACGTACGAAACGTTTATTTCTATGAAATAACCTTTACCTAATCTGTACTACCACTTACTCTTTTGGGCCCGGCCCGTTTTCAATTTCCTCTCAGGCCGGCCCGGCCCGGTCAGAAAATTTCAAGACCCGGCCCGTTTTAAAAAATTTTAAAACTTAAAAAATAAACGGAAATTTGGCTTTGCATTGTTCTTTTAGCTCATTTATCATGGTACCCAATAAAATCAAAAAACATCAACGGGGTAAAACAAAAATTTTTTAAAAATTTAAAAATTTTTTTTTGGGCTCGGGCCCAATTTTCAAGTCAGGCCCGCGGGCCGGGCCTAACCTTTGGACCCGGCCCGTTTCATTTTTTAGCTCAAGGCCGGCCCGTAGGGCCGGGCCGGGCCTAGACGGCCCGTTTCTCACCCCTACTCCCGTCTCTACCCTTACTCCTACTATTATGTTTACCCTTAAACCTACTTTTATTTCTATATCTGCTACGAGTATCAGCGAAATTAAACAAATAAACTATTTCTTACAGCGTGGTAACTTAATTACTGTGTGTATTATGGCACGTATTAGTAGACTGAGCAAGGTGCATCATGTTTGAATAGTGTTTCTGCGAATTTGTATAATTACAATGTTTTGAAATTTTGAATAATTGGGGTACGTAAAGGTACTTTTTGCTATCTTGTCTTGTAAAGAATGTTTTGTCATTCAAAACTAGAGTTTTCACGGGCTCGGGACCGGAGCTAAAAATTTTAAAAAAATGGCGGATCTGGAAGTTTGGGAATTCTGTTAAACACCCTTCTAAAGCAAGTTTTTATTTATTTATTTTCCATATTCACTCGTAAGTTCTTGCCAATTTGTCTTTTGTAAAATGCATTAAATTGATTAAAACTAAAATTTAGATCAAGTATACGATAAATAAATGTCATTGCACCGTGCACAACATTTTGTTTTTTTTTACTTTGCAGTTGACAAACTATTCTAGCTATCAAATACTATTTTATCTTTTAGTACATATTAATATAAAACTATTAAATTCATTCTGGCATTGATGGCTGTAAAAATAATGGCATTACGAATTTTCGAAAAATTACTGCACTGTGCAATGTCTAAAATTGATTGCTTGCACGGTGCAGCCATGCTAAAATTAGTGTCTTTTTGTTTGCTGTAAAGAACGTTTTTGCTATTTTTTGTTTTGTAACAAAAGTTCTTGCCATTTGCACCGTTGTAAAGGAAGTTCTTAACATTTTATCTTTTGTACACAAAGTTCTTGCCATTTTCTTCAAAACAACCAAAATTTGATCAACAAGTTTAATTTATTCAAAAACATATTAATACCTAATATTAATATCAACAAAATAGATTAAAATCCAACGCTTAATACAACCAGTATTGTGCCATTTTGGGGTTGATGGTGGAGGCGCTCAACGGTCGTTCCGCTGACTGTTCCCAGCTCGCCGATGGCGTTGAGCGTTCGGCCGAAGCCGATGAAGGCGAGGGCGTGGTTAGGTATTTGGGGTCTGGAAACAAAGTTATTACGGCTTTTTGAAAAATATTGTCTTTTTTTATTTTTAAAGAAAGTTCGTGCCATTTTGTGTTTCGTAACGAAAGTTGTTGCAATTTTTCGTTATGTAAAGAAAGTTCTTGCGATTCAGACGTTTTAAAGTACGATTTCAAACCATAAAATGTCAGCACATGTATCATTACCGTAAAATTCCTTAAAAGTTATTGCACCGTGCAATCATAAAATTATTTTGCGCGGTGCAACAACTTTCATTTTTTTCACTGTGTTATTTGTAAATTATTTTAGGTAATAAATACTAGTATAACCTTTAGTATGGACTATATAAAGCTATTAAAAGCACTTTAAATTTTATTGCTCTAAAAATAATGGCACAGTGAATTTTTAAAAAATGATTGCACCGTGCAATCTAAAATCTTTGTTGCACTGTGCAGTCAAATTTATTTCTTTGCACGGTGCAGTGTTTTTCATTAGTGATAAGAATATTTTTAGCTCTGGAAAAGATTGGAAAGAAAGTTTTTCTTTACTTAAAAAATTTTGAAAATTTAATTTTTGTTTAAATTTAAAATTTGGAAAAAAAATTCTTGCAACTACTCAAAACCCACTCATTTTCTCTGACATAGTCAAAGGCTTGTCTTCAACTTGAGGTTTCATTGTCCTTCCACCAAACTGTCCATTTGGTCGGCCAATAGTTGGGCTTCTCGTTGTAGCACCATTAGTACCAGTTGGTCCACCACCAATGCCGGTAATACCGCCTCGGGGTTGGTATCCTGGGTTGGATGGTGTACCAGGTGCACCGGACAGTGAGTTCAAGCCTGAGTTTTGGCTAGAAGAGCCACTCTGACCAAATGGTTGGCGTGGGTTGGAAATGGCACCAGACGTGAGGCCTGCGCTTGAGATTTGGCCGGAATTTGAGTTTAGGCCTAAATTTACATTTTTTGAAAATTTTTGAAATTTTTTTTCCATTTTTTGTTTTGTAAAGAAAGTTCTTGCCATTTTTTGTTTTGTAAAGAAAGTTCTTGCCATTTTTTGCTTTTTAAAGGAAGTTATTGCCATTTTTTGGTTTGTAAAGAAAGTTTTTGCGATCTCAAATCCTTTTTTTGAAAATTTGAGCTATTTGGGCTTAAAGTGATCTATTTTAAGTTACGCAGCCTGCGGGTGACATGTTATACGAGGAACTATATTTTATGTTTTGTAATAAAAGTTTTTCCGATTTTTTAAAAAATAGGTTTAAAATAAAAAAAAAATAAAAGTTTAATCCAATTATCAAAAATTTTTAATTTTATTTTGTCAAGTCATCAATTTTTTCAAATTTACTTAAAACTTTGTTACCTGAAGTACCAGCAGCACCATTAAGACCAGTCGACCCAGCGAGCGTAGTCACCTTCATAGGTAGTCCAATTGGCCCAAATCCGAACGAATTCCCGTTCTCTGGCCCAAAGTTGTTGTTATAATTGGCGTTGAACTTCAGCATATTTGGCATTAACTGCCCCAGGGTCTGTTGCCAGTTCACAAAGCCATTCTGATTGGGGTTGACATAGTTGACATTACTCTGTTCAGCCACCACACTCGGCTCCCGATTTGACGCAAAACTGGCACTAAACTCGCGGGCGTGGGCAAAGTTTAGTCGCATCGACTCGCTGAACCTTAACATTGGATCTGCTTCTCGTTTACCCAACTGCGCCCTCGATAACACGGATGGTAGGAGTGATAACAAGCAGAGAAGTGACTGTAGGGACATCTGAAAAGGAATCGGGTTTAAAGTGGCATGAAAATGAAAAAATGGCAAGAACTTTCTTTACAAATCAAAAAACGGCAAGAACTTTCTTTACACACAGGGAAATGGCATGAACTTTATTTACAGAACAAAAAATGGCAAAAACTTTCTTTACAAATCAAAAAATGGGCAAGAGCTTTCTTTACGATACATAAAATAACGCCATTTTTTTAAAAATGCACTGTGCAATAAAATTTATTGACTGCACAGTGCAGTCATTTTTCGAAAATTCATTTTGCCATTGTTTTCAATGCTACCAAGTTAAAATTAGTTTTAATGGCTTTATGTAAGCCAGTGCTAAAAGTCAGGATGGTACTTGTCATATAAGGTAGGTCGATAATGGCATCACATTTAAAAGAAATTTTTTGCACAGTGCAACGAAAATCATTTTTAAAAACGCGGTTTGAAAAGATAAATGGCAAGAACTTTTACAAAACAAAAAATGGCAGGAGCTTTCTTTGCAAATGAAACACTGCAAGAGCTTTCTTTACGGTAAAAAGAAGGTTATGTATCGTATAACTTGTCACCCGCAGGCTGCAGAACAGAAAAATTAGGCTATATGGGGCAAAATGGCAAGGAATTTCTTACCAAAACAAAAAATTGTAAAGACAAGTAAAAAATGGCAAGAACTTTCTTTCCAAAACGAAAGATAGCAAGAACTTTCTTTCCAAAACAAAAAATTACACTAACGTTCTTTACAAATCAAAAAATGGCAAGAACTTTCTTTCCAATCCTAATTTTAAAAAAATTCAAAAACTGGGTATTTCAAGAAAATCTCCCCCAAACAAACCCTCGAGCATCGTTCCTAACCGCCCGCAGCACCCGCGCCTCGGCTACAATAACTTTGTGTAAACGGTAATCGAATTAAGCGCAAACAACCGCCCCGCCGCCCGCTATTGACCGAAAACGCAACGCGATCGGCTAGCCGCGCGACGTTTTATAACCGTGGCGGCCGCCCGCCCTTAGCAAAACAAAACAACATTGTTGTTTTTTTCGATGCGAAAGGGGATCGTGCTGTGACGTGCTTTTCGATGTTTCCACCGTTCTTTCCTCGTCTGAGGGGTTTAGGTTTCGAGGAGGGGGTTCAAGGGGAGAGCATGGGTGCGGTGAACTTTTTAGTAGGAAAGAAGTAAAATGTGTCAGTAAAACTATTTTTTAGGTAGAAGGGAGGAGGGGGTTAGAAAAAAAATTATTATAGGTATTTGAGGGGGAGGGTAATCAAGACAAAAAATTTTAGGCAGTGCGAGGAGGAGGGGGGGGGGCAAAAAATGGCAAGAATCTTCTTTACAGGCCAAAATGTGACAAACTTTTTGAAAATGCACCGTGCAACAATATAATTTTTGCTTGCACAGTGCAGTCATTTTTGGAAAATTCCTTTTTCCATTGTTTTTAAAAGCTATCAATATAAAAGTTGTTTTAATAGCTTTATATGAGGCAGTACTAAAAGTTGGGATGGTATTTATTATTCTTGGTAGGTCACAAGTGACATGGAATTAAAAACAAAAAATTTTGCACGGTGCAACAGGATAACTTTATTGCACAGTGCAAAAAAAGCGTGCTTTGCACGTGAAGTGCACGTGATACTAACAAATTTGGCCTAGTTAACATAATATTGATAATCCTTTATTTTTTCTATGGTATGTGTCCATTTTGATACGTTAGAGGCCACTGTAAGCTGAGAGAACGGCTGAAAAAACGAAATATCACTCTAAACCTAGAGAACGGCCATAGAAACGAGAGAACAAACAAAAAGTGGGGATCAAGTAATTGCTCCCCCGCCTAATCCTATTACCCAATTCCGTCCACTGATAACGCTTCTACTTCCAGCTTAATCCCGCATCCTGACCACCCAGTAGCCGGCCGAACTTATTTACACTGTATCGCTTCGTATATAAGCCTATTGGGACGATCAGGTCCTGTACAATATCACAAAAGACATGTTTGTCATTAAAATATGGTTCTTTGGAGATGAAAATGCAAATATTTACATTACTTTGTTTAATTTTAATAAAGTTTACAGTGATTTGAAGTTTTGGGTGTCATGGATAGTATCATGGTTAATATCATGAATAACATCAAAGTTAACGTGATTAATATTGGTCTTTCAACAAAAATTGTTAAGAATTAAAAATCATATATAATAAAGTGTAAAATACGCCAAGTTCTATCCAGTTCAGCATTCGGAATCCATAAATAACTTCAACAGATCATGGATAAGGTAATATTGTGAATAACATTGAAATTGATATGAATAAGATGGCGTTTTTAAGGAAAATGGTCAATAATAAACAAGTATATATAACAAATTGTACAATACGCCTATTTCCGCTCAATTCAGTGTTAAAAACCCATAAATAACATCAGCTGATCATGGATAATATAATTTTTGAATAAATTTTCCATTTTTTAAATTTTTGAATATTTATAATAATTTTATCTTTTTTAAATATTATCAACATAAATTCAATTTCAGTAAACAGTATAAGTAGTAATTATACAGCTTTACTCACCTCCAATATTAACTACCTCTAAACGAATCAATAGTTGCAGTGTGCTCTGAAGGGGGACGAAATGCCACAGATGTTCGCTTCCATTTGTCCGCTTTTTATTCGTCGGCCTCGACATTTTTCCCCCCTTTCTTTCCTCGAGGGCTGTTGGCGAGATCTCCAGATAGTTTTCGATTTTTTCTCATTTCATTTCATATTACACAGCTTCAGCTATATTACACTGGATATATTTGAATATATGTGGGGGAAATTTGATGGATTTTGACTGTAGCTTCGATTTTTGCGAAGTTTTGGATTGGAGAAGGATCTATGAATTGATTTTGGCACTTATTTGGAGTTTAACATTGAAAATTTTGAACAATATGAAGTTTGAGCATATTGGAATAGGTATGGGTAAGATGGCGCTAGTTTTGGTGTGATCACCACAAAATGGGAGTAGTTTACATTAAGACATTTATAAGATAATGTTAAAGGCCCTCTAAAGCTTAAAGGTTTATAAAATTGAGTTTCACTATGTTTTTAGGCATTTTTTATAAATTAGGTACTTGTGTCATGGATAACATAAGATTTGGTATTCTTAATGTCTCTAAGCTAGAGTAATCGTTAAGTCACGTGTGTATGACTGGACAACGTATATTTTAAACTTAAGAATTATATATTTTTTATACATTTTAAAATTTTTTGATAATTTATGAGATTTAATGCCAAGTGTAATATAAAATTCGATGTATCTTTGAACTTTTATTAGATTTTTGTTGTTCTTTGCTTTTATTACGAAGATATGTATATTTTCTTGCGTATATCACAAATCGTGTAACTACATTCACTCGTTTTATTTCTACTGTCGCTTTTCTTCAAAATCTCCTACTCATCAGAGCTCATGAATAACACTTTATTTCCAGTTTCTTCTACACTTTAATTCAATCAATCGGAACACAACCACAACGTTGGCCCAGAACGTCCACTCTTCCTAATTTTGTAACGCAGTACATAACCATTCTATCATCGTTTATTTTGTATCATATCGTAGTGTATATTAGCCATGTCGGATGATTGGAAATCGGAGTTGCAATTGCCGGAACGGGACCGCCGCTTCCGCACGGCCGATGTCACTGAAACCAAGGGCCTGGAGTTTGAACAATTTGGGTTGTCGCGCAACTTGTTGAAGGGAATCTTCGAGAAGGGATGGGAACGGCCATCTCCGATTCAGGAGGCTTCGATTGCTTATGCTTTATCTGGTAAGGGTTTTGAGTTTTTGTTGGTTTTTAGGGTTGGATAAAATGGAGAAGATGGTGATGAAGGTTTCAAAGGCTATCTTGGTTTGGTTTGTGCGGAAAACTTAAGGTTTTGTTGAACAAATGGCAAAAATTATGTTAACATAGTAGTCTTTGAACTTTTGGCTTTATCTCAGAGGTTTTTGTCTTTACCTTTATGAAACTTGGTATAAAGCTGTCCAAATATCTACAGATGAAGTATATAAAATATGACTTAACTATGACCTTAGGAAGTCCGAAAAATGGGATATTATCCATGATGACCCTTATAAAAGATTAAAAATTTCTTTTAATAAGCGAATAAGTTGTAAAATACGGCTTTTTGATCAGAAATTTTTAGGACAAGATATTTTGGCCCGTGCGAAGAATGGAACCGGTAAAACTGGTGCTTATTGTATTCCATGCATCGAAAAGATTGACAACACTCTGAACGCGATTCAAGGTCTTATTATTGTGCCAACACGTGAGCTGGCTTTGCAAACCTCCCAAATCTGTGTCGAATTGAGCAAGCATTTGAATTTGAAGGTACGTTTAAAAAAATTGTTGAAAAAGTATTTTTTGCGGAAAAATGGCAAGAACTTTGTTTCCAAAACGAAAAATGACAAAAACTTTATTTACAATTCAAAAAATTGCAAGAACTTTCTTTACAAAGCAAAAATGGCGAAAACTTTCTTTACAAAACAAAAATGGCAAGAAATTTTTTTACAAGCCAAAACCCCGCAAAAATTTTCTTTAATTTTACCAATATTTTGTAGGTAATGGTAACCACCGGTGGTACCGACCTTCGTGACGACTTGATGCGCCTGAACGGTGTGGTCCACCTCATTATCGCCACTCCCGGCCGTATTCTGGACCTCATGGACAAGGGCGTGGCCAAAATGGAACGCTGCAAAATGCTTATCCTGGACGAAGCGGACAAACTGTTGTCCCAAGACTTTCAGTCCATGCTGGACCGACTGGTCGCTCATTTGCCCGAGGACCGTCAAATCATGTTGTACTCGGCCACCTTCCCTCGAACCGTCGCCACTTTCATGACCAAACACATGCACAAACCGTACGAAATCAATCTGATGGAGGAGTTGACTTTGTTGGGTGTCACTCAGTTCTACGCCTTTGTACAGGAAAAACAAAAGGTTGGTTTGGATGTTTTTGGGATGAAAAATGGGTTTTGAGGGATTAAAATGACATTAAAATTTTTCTTTGAAAAAATAGAAAATTTTGCTGATTTAAAAGCCTAAGGTAATATTGAAAAGCTTTTAAAGCCGGTAACTTAATGTGGAAAGAAAGTAAAGTAATATAGAGAGAAAGTATCTTGGAAGCTTTTTTTGTTTGCACAGTGCGGTTTATAAAGGGCCATTTTTGACTGCACCGTGCAAATTTTAATAGCCTTTTTGATTGCACGGTGCAAAATCTTTTTTTTTTTCATTTTAGGGATTTCAAAATTGAAAAATAAGTTTCAAATGCAAAAATATTGCTAGTGAGAGGACAAAAAAATTTTTTTTGTTTTTTTTTGAAATTTGATTTTTTTTCAAATTGACCTTTTTGAAAAAAATTATCTTGCCAGTTACCCTGTCCTTACTCCTACTTAACCCCCGTAGCCATGCCCCAATTATACCTTTAAAAGTCACCAAACTTCAAAATTTTAACTTCCAGGTCCATTGTCTGAACACGCTGTTCCGCAAACTCCAAATCAACCAGTCGATAATCTTTTGCAATTCGACGCAGCGCGTCGAACTTTTGGCCAAGAAAATCACGGAGCTCGGCTACTCCTGCTTCTACATTCACTCGCGAATGGCACAACAGCACCGAAACCGCGTTTTCCACGACTTCCGCCAAGGTCACTGCCGGAATTTGGTGTGTTCCGACCTGTTGACTCGAGGTATCGACATTCAGGCGGTCAATGTGGTCATCAACTTTGACTTCCCCAGAAATTCGGAGACTTATCTTCACAGAATTGGACGGTAAGTTTTGTGGGTCTTGAAGGGTTTTTTGGGTTGGAAAGAAAGTTTTTGTCATTTTTTGTTTTGGAAAGGAAGTTTTTGTGATCTTTTGGTTTGTAAAGAAAGTTCTTGCCATTTTTGATTTTGTAAAGAATGTTCTTTTTGTTTTATTTACTTGTAAACAAAGTTCTTTCTATTTTTTTACTATAAGAGCGCGAAAAAGTCTTGTCGTTTTTGTACGTGCAAATTTATGTAACTTGACGACAAGACTTTTTAGTTTATAATTTTAAAAGAGAATTTGAACCAAAATTTGTCTAGAAAATCGTGCTTTGCTTTCTTATTAGTGAAAAAATATCTATACTAATTAAATGTTTTGCAGTTCGGGTCGTTTTGGCCACCTGGGTATCGCCATCAACCTCGTCACATACGACGATCGCCACAATTTGCGCAAAATCGAAAAGGAACTCAAAACCAAAATCGAGCCCATCCCCAAGGAGGTGGACCCCAAACTGTACGTGGCCGAGTTCCAGTTCGTGGACGACGAAGCCTAACCCCGCACATCGTGGCCAATATTTATTAATCGACGAACTGCATTACCTCTCGTCTGTTTCTCGCACCCTTCTCGTTAGCAGCTAGTAATATATTAGTATCTTTGTCACTGCTCTTACAAACAAACGTTTCTTGATCGCATAAACACTGTCTCTCGCGTTCGGTTTGGTCTTTGTCTGTCAAGGATAATATACCAAAATTGGTGGTCGATTTTTTTGAAATAAGGTTGAATTTAGCTATCGATTTGAGAAATAGGCAAAATTTATGTTTACCTTGGTTAAACATAGCTTTTTTGGCTATTCTTTAATGAGTTATGACCTTTTTTCTCATTTTTTGGACGTTTTTAGACCATTTGTTTGAGTAAAACGTCCAAAGCTTACTGTATATTAAAACAACAAAATCTGTATTGTCCGGCCACCACAATCAAATAACGCACAATTCTCAATAAGTTTTTGCGGCTTTCCCAATTTTTATAAAAGGAAAAACGACTAAAAACTTGTAAATATCTGATCAAGTACAATATCTTGAGGTTTCATGTTATTAACGAGCTTTTTCGATTCATTTCATTAATATTTATAGCTCGTTTATAACCTCTGTACCTTTACAAGTCGGTTCTTTGTTAATTTTTATTTGTTTTCACTTGAATTTTAGTCTGCATACTGTTGGAAACAAAGTTTTTGCAATTTTTTAGTTTAACTCTAATTTTTTGCAAAAATTTGTTTCCACTTATTGTAATTACTCGACAAAACGGTTTTCGAGCCAACAACGGGTCTTTGGTTCAACAAAATTTGTATCCATATTACACTTGACATCAACATATATGGTATATTGTTGTATGTCAGTTCGACGAATATCATTTCACGCATTTGTCTCTTCTTTACCATGAAACTGGTTGTCGTATACCCTTGACCGTCTTTGAGTAATTGTACTTGAGAGCACGTCAAGTCATTGAGGTATGTTAAGCTGTTGTCTATGAGCTTGATGTCATGGATAATATCGCAGTATATCTCATTGAATATTGTCTGGATATGACTCGGTTTGATCCCGTGTTCAACGTCTATGTTGTAGACGACTCTTGTCTTCATCGGATTCTGAGTTAGGTCGTTCTTTGTCTTTTTTCATCCGATATTACGTTAGCTATATCAACTTAAGGATGGTCAATTGGTTTTTGCTTTTTTGAAATTTCTAGAATTTCAAAAAGGACAAAACTTTTTGCCCATCAACATCTGATTCTTGAGAAGCTTTTGAGATGGATTTTAGCCACATGCTCCATCGTACCCAGTCTAAATTTAGAAAAACAATAACAACATCAACTTACTTTAGATGATAAGGAAAAATTAGTGTCAGATGTCCGTCTCCTTCTCGAATTCATCACATTTCCTGTTCTTCCTCTCCCAATGACCTCACGAATCTGCCTTGCAACCCCCGCTTGCAGTAGGATGATGTTAAACTTTGTTAATCCAAACATCTCGGGTCTACTGTAACGTCCAAAAACGATTTTTAAACCCGTTTGAATCCCCATTTCTCAAAGCTCAGATCTCCGACCCCCACCTTCATCTATTTGTTGTCTTCAAACAAAAAAAAAGAAAAAAACAGTGATTTGCTTTGTCTTGATACATCTACTATAATATCGACGTTAATCAGTGTTCCACTATAATTACAAGCTATTTGATGTTTTTTACTGAAAATGTGTTGAGATTAGTCTAAGAGTGTGTCAAACATCGACAAAACAGATGTAAAACATTATAATAACATCAATTTCACGTCTTCCTCAACATTATTTACGAAACAACGATATTATTGTAGATATATCAAGACACGGACATAACATCGTCCATTGTTACATTCTTGTTATTTATTAATAAAAAAAGCAAATCCAAATTGGCGATCCACTTATTTTTATCCAGAAGATCAAATCCAGACGAAAATCTACATAGGGGTGAGAAAAGGGCCGGGCCCACTTTTAAGGCCCAGGCCCGGGCCCAACGTTTAGGCCCGATATTGTTTTCAATTTTCTCTCAGGCCGGCCCGGTCAGAAAATTTCTAGGCCCGGCCCGTTTTAAAAAATTTTAAAACTTAAAAAATAAACGGAAATTTGGCTTTGCATTGTTCTTTTAGATCATTTATGTATCATGGTATCCAATAAAATCAAAAAACATCAACGGGGATTAAAATAAAAAATTTTTTAAGATTAAAAAAATTTTTTTTTCGGGCCCGGGCCCAATTTTCAAGCCCGGCCCGATCGTAGGGCCGGGCCGGGCCTAGACGGCCCGTTCTCACCCCTAGATCTACAAAAGAAGACACCTGAAACACAATGCCAAAACAGTTTGGCATGCTTTGTTTCCGCTGCAGGGCCAATCTAATTGTTACATGCTCGGTAATTTTTGAGTTTTTTTAATTTAAAAAACAATTTATCAGTAAGTTTTTATGAAGTACAGCTTATATTTGTGTTAAAAAAGTTATTTTCTACTTTTTGTTTAAAATTTACTGGTATTTTTTGACTTTTGCAAATTTATAAATTTTAACAATTTTTCAAAATTTAAATCATGAAAGGTAAAATACGCTGTGGTAATTTTCTACTAATTTAATTTAATTTGGTAGTTTTTAAGTTTATTTTGCTTTATAAAGTTCAACAAGCTAGCATTATACAGAAATAAAGTTTTTAAAATTTTAGGTAACAAATAGCAAACCTTTTTTAAAAATTAGCCAAAATTTAGTAATTTAAAGTTCAAATTAAACAGATTTTGAAGAAAATGTTATTTTTTATTTTTAAGGCCCTTTTGAGGCCTTTAAAAGTTATGAAAACTAAAAATTTCCACGGAAACCAAAGATTTTGAATTTTTAAAACGGAAACATCTGTGGAATTTGGCACTTATTATGAGTAAAATACGGCGATGGCCCTTTTTGGTCTTAAGAACAACAAAAACTTTCTTTACAAGTCTAAAAATGGCAAGAACTTTCTTTACAAAACATAAAATAGCAAGAACTTTATTTACAAAACATAAAATGGCAATAACTTTTTACAAAACACAAAATGGCAAGAACTTTCTTTACAAAACGTAAAATGCCAAGAACTTTATTTACCACGCTCAAAACAAGGTGCGTCGGCCAATAAAATGCATTTTTGATTTATAGTAACATAAATGTATTGAAAATAATATAAATATATTGCCATAGATTCATATTACCTTAGCAGCTATTGTAATCCACGTATCTGATGTTTGTAATAAGTAAATATTGATGATTAAGGGCAAACGAAGGAGTAACCTTGAGGGTCAGTGGGGAGGAAACGGGACGCGCAATTCAACCTCACACCTCCGGCTCGGATTCGAATTGGATTTACTTTCATGGTAAGTTGGATTACAATATTAATTTTGGGTTTTTATACTTATTTTAGAAATTTTTAAAATTAAAAAAAAAATTTTTTGTTTTTTTTAAACTTCGCACGGTGCAACCGATTTTGGTTTAAAAAACTGATTTTTAGGTAAGAAAGCGCAGTTTTTATTAAAATTGAACAAATTTTTAGTATAAAAAAGACATTCCTAGCCAAGTTGAACATGGAAACAAAGTTATTGCGGGTTATAACTTTTTTTTAATTTCATGCTATTTTGGCTCAAAAAAGTGAATTTTGGGTAAAAAATGGCCATTGTTTTAAAATTTGAACAGATTTTTATATAAAAATAAAATTCAAAATTGTAAAGAAGGTTCTTGCTATTTGTCTTGCTTTTTATTCAATTTTTAAGTTCGGGTGTTTTGCAGGCTGCGCATGACAGGTTATACGAAGGATTTTAAAAGTTGGTATTTTTTGCTTTGTCAAAAAAGTTCTTACTATTTTCTGATTTGTAAAGAAAGTTTTTGCCATTTTTTGTTTTGTAAAGGAAGTTCTTGCCATTTTTTGTTTTGTAAAAAAAGTTCTTACTATTTTTCAAAAATGAAAAAATTTTAATTAAACTATTTTTTAAAAATTTTTATTTCAGAGTCAAAAATCTCGATTAAAAGAAGATGACTACCCAATATCAGGCTTGGAGCTGTACTTTTACTTTGCTGTTTGGATTGTACATTCTTTCATTTCTATAATATTAGCATACCAGTCGTCGTCTCAAGTTGGTTTATGGTTCAATAGTGCATTGAGGGAAAGTCCGTAAGTGGAAAGAAAGTTTTTGCCTGTTTATGTTTTGTAAAGAAAGTTCTTGTCATTTTCGCTTTGTAAAGAAAATTTCTGTAATTTTTTTCTTTGTAAAGGAAGTCTTTGATTTTAAATAGTTTTTTTGGAAAATTTGGGTCATTCGAGCTAAAAAGAACTAATTTCGAAGTTATGCAGATAGGTGACAAATTATACGATAAATTAAATTTGCACCTTCTAATAGATATTCTTTTTGTCACTGCAAAACTTATGGCTTGTTTTAGGTAACAAATGCTATTACACCTTTTAGTATAGGTCTATATCAAGCTACTGAGACTATTTTTTTACTGATGGTTTCAAAAATAATGGTAAACTGAATTTTTGAAAAATGACTGCACTGTGCAACGAATTTTCTTATTTGCACTGCAATTTTAAGATTATTTTAACTAACAAATGCTACTATAATTTTTAGTATAGGTTTATATAAAGCAATTAAAACTGGTTTTATTGCACTATTGCATCGTGCAGTAATATAATTTCTTTGCACCGTGCAATAATTTTTCTTTTTGTTGCTATGCTGTTTCTAAATTATGTTAGGTAACAAATGCTATTTTAATTTTTAGTATGGGGCTATATAAAGCTACTAAAACTATTTTTACTTTGATTGCTTTATAAATAATGGCACAGTGAATTTTTGATAAATGACTGCACGGTGCAAGCTAAAAAGATTATTGCACCGTGCAAAAAAAAATTTTTTCTGAGTTTTCAAGGAAGTTTTCGCGATTTTTGTGGTTTGTAAAATACGTTCTGTAATTTACTTGCCAAAAAACATTAATTTTTTAAAAATTTAGCTACCGTTACCTTGGAGTCAGTGCCATAGTAGACGATTCAGATACAGAATGGTTGTTATTTCGCGTATCTCTGCCAAATTACATTATAATCTACACTCTTCATTCTCTCATCTTCTCACTGGTCAAAAGTCGACTGTCCCAAAAGCATCAACCTTTCATTTTGGTACCGTTATGGATGGTGCTGATGGTGCAAGGTCATTCTTGGCCTTGTTTTTGGATCTGTCTTACTTTGGCAGTTATCACAACATTAATTGTGGGTTACTGTCGAAATGAGTTGATGGCGTGGGTAATATGTGTAGTATTCGTACTCAATTCAGGACCACAGTACATACCGTACTCGATGGATCCGGGTGTGTATTATCGAGAATATCAAATGTACGTTTACACGGCTGTTAAGGTAAGTTATGGGTTTCTACTGTGGTTATTGTACTATTCACCTTACTATTCTTAAGCCTACTAAGCTTAAGACTACTAAGCCTAAGCCTGCTAAGCCTAAGACTACTAGGCCTAAACCTCCTAAGTCTAAGCTTATTAAGCCTAAGCTTGCTAAGCCTAAGCCTGCTAGGCCTAAGCTTACTAAGCCTCCTAAGCCTGAGACTACTAAGCCTAAGACTGCTAAGCATAAGCCTGCTAAGCCTATGACTACTAAGCTTAAGTCTACTAAGCCTACTAAGCCTAATCCTTCTAAGCCTACTTAGACTAAGCCTACTAAGCCTTAGCTTACCAAGCCTAAGCCTACTAAACCAGCCTACAAAACTTAAGCTTACTAAGTCTAAGCTAAATTCAACGATGTATGCGACAATACTTTTCTGACCCACTGGTAATGTATCGTACTCTACAGCACTATTATTTTCAGATCCTCAACTTTAACATATACCTATGTCGCAACAAGAACATCAACATAACTCCAACCCTATTAACCTTATTCACCGAATACTTACTATATCCACCGTTCTGTTCCACTTTGATCGTGCTTTTCGACGATTTCCAAAAACAACGTTACAATGAAAAGAAGTTCAACATCAAAACTACAGTATGCTTAGCGATGAGACTTGTCTTTTGGTTCAGTATAATTGAAATGGCACTTCATTTCTTGAGATTCAACGCTTTCTTCAATGCTCCGTTCACTACCATGAAGCATCTGCATAACTATAAAGGTGGGTGAGGTATGGCAGGGTAGGAGATAGAACGGAGTAGGGGGAGAGTTGAGTTAGGTAGGGTAGAGTAGAGCAAACAAAGCTTAAAAATAAAATTTGTTTATAGTTTTCAAAACGATTTTTTTGCACGGTGCAATCATTTTTCAAAAATTCATTGTGCCATTCTTTTTAGAGTAAGCAATTTAGAAATGGTTTGGATAGCTTTGTATCAGTACTTAGTAAATGTTATAGTAGCATTTGGCATTTAATATACGTTTAAAATGGCACAGAACAAAAAAGAAAATTTGTTGCACGGTGCAGTCATTTTTCAAAAATTTATTTTGCCATTATTTTTAAAGGATTCAAAGTAAAAATAGGTTTAAAAGTTTTGTATTGGTGCATAGTGAATGTAAAAATAGTATTTGTTACCTAAAATAAGTAAAAAATGGCGCAGTGTTAAAAACAAACATTGTTGCACGGTGCAAAAATATAATAAGTATGCATTGTGCAATGATAAGTATAGGTTTGAAAGGTTTTACTTTTTTATGTTTTGTAAAGGAAGTTTTTGTCATTTTTGATTTGTAAAATACGTTTTTTCGTGCCGTGTTTTGTAAAAAAAATTGTTGCCATTTTATGCTTTGTAAACAAGGTTTCTTCTCTTTTCAGTGGTCTCCATTGCCTACTTGGCAGGTCAATACTTCCACACCAAATACGTGGTCATTTTTGGCGTCGCACGTTTGTACGCTCACATCGATGGAATCACACCTCCAAAATCTGCCATTTGTATATCGAGGGTGACCAAGTACTCGAGAATGTGGCGTTATTTCGACCGAGGACTGTACCAATTCCTGAAACATCAACTTTACATACCATTCCTGGGTAGTGGCAGTGGAAAGTTGCTCATGTTGCGGAGATTTGTCGCCATGGTTGCGGTTTTTGGATTCGTTTTGTGTTGGCATGGATTGAATGCTAACTATGGATATTGGGTAAGGTTTTTTTGTGGTTTTAAGGCTTTAAAATACGAAAAAAGGGGGAAAATGTTTGATTTTTGATCAATTTTATCGATTTTTTGGCCAAATTTTTACGTTTTTAAAGGATTTTTAAAATTTCTTAAGGGTTAAAGCCATTTTTAAACAAACCAATTTTTCAGGTCCTCTTATCAGCTATAGAACTAATCATAGAACGCATCGGACTAGCCTTTTATCAATCCAAAACTGGCACAAACCTCCGAAAACGCCTAGGAGAAGCCAATTTCAGCCGACTTTCGGCCGTTTGCTGCATTTCCAACGTAATTCCAGGCATTTTTGGAGCCTTTTTCTTCTTGGACCACAAAGATAATGGACTACATATCTTTCAAAATGTCCTACTGAAAGGATTCTATCAAATCCTAACACTAGATGTCCAGAGGTACAATGCTGGGTTTGTTATGAGTCATTTACTACTGCTGGGATATTGTTTTGCTCATGTTTGTGCCTACTTGAATGTGAAATTGGATCAGAAACCCAAAGTTGTGAAAAAAGAGTAAATTATAAGCTGAGGAATGCAAAACTGAAGCTCTAACTAGTAAATTATTATAAAACGTCGGTCTTTATGATAAACAAAGTATCGTTTTACAAAATGTGTCGCTAAAAGCTATTTTTTCAAAGACTAAAATAAATTACTGCTTAAGTCTATAAAATGTTACCTAAATCCAAAAAAATATTAAGAATACCCAATTTGTAATAATATAACAAAAAATTTATTTTTGCCATTCTCATTAACATGAACAACATAAAAACAAGAAACAAATATGGCTGGAGATTGATGACAGCTCCAGCCACGCCCAGATCGTCTTATCCTCCCTTCTTCTTGGACACACCGACAGTACGTCCCTTACGGCCGGTAGTCTTGGTGTGTTGACCACGTACACGGAGACCCCAGTAGTGACGAAGACCACGGTGGAGGCGGATCTTCTTCATGCGCTCCAAATCATCACGGAGTTTGGATTCGAGGGAGGTGGAGATGACCTACAAGAAGATAAGGTAATATAGAATCGGGAAAGAAGTAAAAGTAATGTAACTCTTTATGACAAAAGGCATCAAAATGAAACATAAAGATCTTCTTATGCTCTAAAAAAGGAAGTTCCAAAATTTTTAAAAAACCTAAAAAAGCGAGTGTACGGTAGAAGTACTGTAACTTTAAAAATGATCTAAATTTCCAAAAAACTGTCATTACATTAGCTGATATAATAAATAGTCTAAGATCTCTCAAAAAGTCTACTTCATAGCTATCTATTGAAGAAGGTTACAGACAAAAGCAATTTAACAACAATTCTATGCGTTATAATTGTTTTTACAATCAAAAAGTATTTAAAATAACTTTAACTTCTTTATAAACGTTTGCTTTATAACAAAACAAAAAGATGATTTTTAGCTAAAACCCTAAAATATAAACCTCCAGACATCTGTTTTATCATGAATAATATAAATTGATGTAAAATACGTCCTATTCAGCATGAAGCTTTATATAATAGCTTGAAAACAGCCTTAAAAGTCTTGAGCCACCTACGCCAACCTTATTTTACCTAAACACCAACCAAAAATCAAAAAACTTACTTGAGTGTATTTACCATCCTTGATGTCCTTTTGTCTGTTCAAGAACCAGTTCGGGATTTTGTATTGGGTTGGGTTCAACAAAACGGTGGTCACCTTTTCCAATTCTTCTTCGGACAGCTCACCAGCGCGTTTAGTGGTGTTGATTCCGGCCTTGCGGCAACACAAGGTCGAGAAACGACGTCCAACTCCCTTGATGGCGGTCAAGGCGAATGGAACCTTGCGGTTACCATCGATGTTGGTGTTGAGAACACGAATAATGTGTTGGAAATCTTGTGGCAATAGTAATGAGCCCATTATTACCCTGAAACGTCGAAATTTAATAAAAATATATTGAGGTAGATGGGTTAAAATAAAATAGATCGAAAGACGGCCAAATATGTAAAAAAGCTCAAAAGATTAATTTAAAATGTAAAAATAGTGCTAACCTTAACTAAAACATTAGAAATCTCAAAACTCTTAAACCTAGTTTAAAAACAATATTACCCAAAAACTACCCCAAATTCTAAGCCAAAACCAAAAAATAAATTATACAGAACACGCATAAGTTCAAAAACAATCTAAAAATACAAAAAACTACTTTAAAACCCCCAAAAATTGTTAATTTACATTACTTTTTACATAAAACAAGTTTCCAAAGAGAAAAATAAAAAAGGTCGAGCGAAATTCCTACCGTAGCTTGGCGTGCTTCGTTTTCGTGCCAGGACGTTTCCAGCCCTCTCGTGTTTCTCTCGTTATTCCCGTTCAAATTCGCGGGCATTGTTTTCGCGGCGGAACCATAGAGTTTGGAAGATATTTGTGACGAGCTGCGAAAAACGACTAGCGTTGAATCTGACGACCAACTAAAGTGGTTGTAGACCTGGAAAAGATAGCGAAGGCTCAGAAAGTCTTTAGTTTTATATCATACTTGATATAGGGTGCGTGACCTTGTTTGGTATTCCTTCTTACGTATTGTTGTAGCTTCAAGCTAACCCGTGCTATACTGTATTATATTGTTGTATCATATTCGTATTCGCTTAGCTAATTGTTGTTGATTTAGAAAACTTGTGCAACCTGAAGAAGGCACAACAAACTTGGTTTCAGGATGGGAAGTAAGTTGATTTGTTTGAGTATAATATGTTTTTTGTTTAGTCAAGTTCCTCGAATTCATCAAACCCTTCTGCGGGTTCATCCCTGAGGTGTCGAAGCCTCAGAGGAAGATCCAGTTCCGTGAAAAGATGCTATGGACGGCAATCACTTTGTTCGTGTTCTTGGTGTGCTGTCAGATCCCACTTTTCGGTGAGTTTGAAGATGTTTTTGGGTATGAAGCTAGGTGATTTTAGGCTTAAAAGATGCAGTAGAATAGTGGCATTCTTCTGATATATAACTTGATAAAAATGAGGTTGAAAATTGGCATGTTTTGTTTTGATTTTAGACATCAATATATTTGGTATTGTGGATAATATAGGAAATTGCATGTTTTTCACTGTTTTTGGCTGTAAAACATTACGCTATTGTATTTTAAAAATAGTCTGTAGATTTCTGAAGCTAATTAAATTTTTTACAGCTAAAAACATTATAAAATACGAACTCATCATCTACCTTTAATATTAAACTCTTCTAAATAATCTATTTTCAGGTATCATGTCAACCGACTCTGCCGATCCATTGTACTGGCTTCGTGTTATCTTGGCTTCAAACAGAGGAACATTAATGGAATTGGGTATTTCTCCAATTGTCACTTCTGGTATGATCATGCAACTTTTGGCTGGAGCTAAGATCATTGAGGTCGGAGATACTCCAAAGGAGCGTGCTCTTTTCAACGGCGCCCAAAAATGTAAGTTTTCAGTGTTTTTGGATAGCTTAGAGTTTTAGGTAATGAATAGTGTAAAATAAGATGTGAAATTGTCTTGTTCTGTATTAGAAATAGAGGTTTAAATGAGATAAGGTCTAAATTTATATTGTTATCGATGAAAACTTGTGTTTTTAATGAACTTGAAGGCTTTTTGGATAATGTTTAGTTATTTTAGATAGCTTAGAGTCCCGGTAATGTTATAGTATAGTAACTAGTTAGTTTACATTGCGTTATTTACAAGAAAAGTTGATTTAATGATGTTACGTCTAAAACAATATCGAAAATAGGCAAGAATGGTTACTTTTAGTTAATATATTGATCTTTTTTAGTACTGTTTTGTATTTTAAAATAAGTAATGTTTTCCTTTTCAGTATTTGGTATGTTAATCACTGTCGGCCAAGCCATCGTCTACGTCGTGTCTGGCATGTACGGAGACCCACACGAAATCGGAGCCGGAATCTGCTTGTTGATCGTTGTCCAATTGGTTGTAGCTGGTTTGATTGTTCTCCTTCTCGACGAACTTTTGCAAAAAGGATACGGTTTGGGCTCGGGTATCTCCCTCTTCATCGCCACCAACATTTGTGAAACCATCGTGTGGAAGGCCTTCTCTCCGACCACTGTGAACACTGGACGTGGAACCGAGTTTGAAGGTGCCATTATTGCCTTGTTCCACTTGTTGGCTACTCGTGGGGACAAAGTCCGCGCTCTCCGTGAAGCCTTCTACAGACAAAACTTGCCCAACTTGATGAACTTGATGGCCACCATCTTTGTCTTTGCTGTCGTCATCTACTTCCAGGTATGCGGAGGGAAAAGTTGGGTTTTGAGGGTGTTTTAGGTATTTTTTTGAGTGATTTTTATCGAAAATGATTCAAAGAATAATATTGAAGTCTTTTAAAATGTTTGTTTTAAAATTTCAATGCAGTATAAGAATTAATTTTAATCAATATACCTTCAGGGCTTCCGTGTTGATCTCCCAATCAAATCCGCCCGCTACCGTGGCCAACAATCCAGCTACCCAATCAAGTTGTTCTACACCTCCAACATCCCTATCATCCTCCAATCTGCCTTGGTATCCAACTTGTACGTCATCTCGCAGATGTTGGCCTCTCGTTTCGGTGGTAACATCTTGGTCAACTTGCTCGGTACCTGGTCCGACGCCGCCGGAGGTTACAGGTCCTACCCAACTGGAGGTCTGTGCTACTACCTATCGCCTCCAGAATCCATTGGAGCTCTCTTGACCGACCCTCTTCACGGTATCAGCTACATTGTCTTCATGTTGGGATCGTGCGCCTTCTTCTCCAAGATCTGGATCGACTTCTCCGGATCATCGGCCAAAGATGTCGCCAAACAATTGAAGGAACAACAGATGATGATGTCTGGTCATCGTGACACTTCAATGATCAAGGAACTCAACCGTTACATCCCAACTGCTGCCGCTTTTGGTGGTCTCTGTATTGGTGCCTTGTCAGTTACAGCTGACTTCATGGGTAAGATTTTGATATTTTTTGGTTGGTTTTTAGGAAATAAATGATAAGACTAGATAGACAAGATGTTAAGGATTATTTTACAATCTTTATTATATTTAAAATGGCATAAAAGTGCGTGTTTTGGTGAAAAGTTGATTTTGCGGCAGCTGATGTCAAGTGTAATATAAGTTTTTTGATGCAACGTGGCGGAAATTAGCTTTATGTTTCTAAAACTATTTTTTGCTACTGTAAAATATTATGAAAAAGCTACTAAATATTACTAATAGTCTTTAAAATTTTGGTACCTATTAGATTTTGCCTTTTAAAATCGGAAAACCTAAATAATCTAGATCGAAACCCAGCCTTGACCTAATTTTTTCCTTTTCAGGCGCAATTGGAAGCGGCACTGGTATCTTGTTGGCTGTCACAATCATCTACCAGTACTTTGAAATCTTTGTGAAAGAACAGCAAGATCTCGGAGGAGTGAGCGGCTTGTTCTTCTAGATTAACTTATAATTATTATTTATAATTTTTACGTTTCCCTAAGTGATATATTGTTTGTTTCTAATAAAAAATGAAAAATATTGATTTGGATTGTATGTGGAATTGTATTCGGAGGTTATTTTGTCACCTATTTTAATGAGAAAATAGAGAAAAGTTGTTATTTCGGGAGTCAAAAATGATCTATGAAGATTTTGATTAAACGAATGGAAAACTAGATGGTAGATAAACAGAAACTATTTATAAAGGTTTTGAAAGCTTATTTTGTTACCTATTTTAATGAAACAGGGTAAACATTGATAAAAAACTTTGTTTTGGGCGCATAAATGATGTTATCCATGAGGTTTTGGACGAAAATTTGATGAAAGTCTTCGAAAAACACATGGTAGATGGACAAAATTTTTTGTATGTGTTGGTATTGTACTGATAAACATCTGGAACAGCTACAAACTTGTTGTTGTTCCATTATTTCGAGAACAGACATCAAAGTATTGTTTTAGCTTTTGCAGTTCGGGAAGTGGGCGGAGCTTACTTTTAGCAGTTCGAAAAGATCAAAATGGTCAAATATCGTTATGAAATGACATTTCAGACTGCTGTCAACACAAATTATTCATAACAACGTTAAAAGTGCACCTTAGTACTACTGTAACATTAGTATCATATTACTGTAACAGCAGTACCAATACTTGAAAATTTGAAAATTTAAAACTACAGTAACCATACCATCAAAATCAATATGAAAACAAACTTTATTACATGAAAACTACAGTATGAATGAATATATACACCCGAATAGTCGATTGCAAGTTGGGAATATTGCAAAAAATAGTTACGAACGCAATAACTTTGTTTACAAAGTGAAAATTGGAAGAACAAGAGAAAGAGACGGAGACATTGGCACAACAACAATATTAGTACTGTAATATAGAAACAAATGGTACTATAAAATCAAAAAAAAATCATATTTAGTACCACTAAACAGTGCAACTACCGAAAAGTAGTACTATATAGTACGATTAGTGGAAACGGTACTATATAGCACCATTTAACGAAAACTAATACTGTGTAGTAATATTGTAACGCAATTTGGCTAAAAAGTACTAAATATGCGTCCTATAGTGCTATATAGTACGACCAGTAAAAACGGTACTATATAGCACCATTTACCAAAAAGTGATACTGTATAGTATTATTGTAACGCAAAATGACTAAAAACTACTAAAAATGCGTAATAGTACAAAATTCCAAAAATAGTACAATAGTGCTTGATTTGGTACAACTCTTCAAGAATGGTACCTATTTTGATCTATAGTACCACAAAATAGTTAAAACAGGTATTTATAGGTATGAATATGTATGATTGTAAAAGGTGTACAATGGTCTATTACAAAATTCAAATAGGAGACATCTTATACGATGAATTTGAAAAAGGGGACATCTTATACGATGGAAACAATATTTTTAAGGCTCGAATAGATGACGACGGTACTAAAAAAGATACTGTAAGACAAATAAAATCATGACAAAACTTAAAAAAAGAACAAAAATTCTACAGTACCCATTACCGTACCAAAACAACCTTCAGAAGCCAGTTCAAGCTTCCTGAGAGGTCTGCCGATATTCATATCCATTATGTTGCTTTGTAGACGTTTTTACCCCGCCGTTTGCCTTCTTATATGCCATGCGATGTCGTCTCAAACAACATGTCAACAACACAATGATCGTACATACCACTACAGTAGCCAATCCGACATACAGTATCAGGTTCAGCTGACCACCGTTGTTCAGATGCTCGTCCAGTAAATCCACCGTGTCCGCTCCAGAATCCGAAGCAGAACCTTGGTTTTGACGGCGATTTGAAGCGGATTCTGATGTCTGTCTTGGCGGTGATTTTTGTTCAATTTCAACTTTGTTCACGGCTACAGACGACGATGTTGTAGTAGGTGGTCGTAGAGATGTTTGAGCTTCGTAATCGTGAAGTTTCTGGTGATTATTGGATCCAGGATCCTTTGACGATGATTGAGAAGCATTATCAGTGTTAGTTGAAGTGGCATCTGATTTGTTATCAAGACTTTTGGCTTCAGAATCTGAAGTTTGTTCCGTTTTTTCGGCATTTTGGCTCGTTTTTTGGCCGAATCTGCTTTGTTTTTCTTCAGAATCCTGACTTCTGCCTTCTGAATCCACCAACTTCTTATTAGAGCCTTGTAGTCCATTCTTTTGTGCATCAGAATCACCGTGATTCTTATCGTCATCATGCTTCTCAACTTCAGAATCCTCGGTCAAACCAAACACCAGCTCCTCGGACTTGATCAAGATTGGTCGATCCACAACCTGAGTTCGCAGATTTAACTGACGGTCACGCTTCGTATTCACACGGTAATAGAAGCGCACCTCCGTGGCCTCGTCGAACACGGCACGTTCGAACTGGATTTCAGGGGCGAGGCCGGCTTCATCGTACTCGACGCCTTCTGGCTCGTCTTCCATGTCGATTTGGAGGTGGGGTGTGCACAGGTGACCCACGTTTTTGGAGCCTCGGTTCAGCATTGTCACTTTGCCATCACAGTTTTCTGGTGACTGAAAGAATAAGGTTGGGCATGGGATTTGAAAAATTTTGTTTTTTGGCCAGAAAACATTTGTTTTCGGGGGTGTTTTGCCATTTTTTGGTCATTTTCGAGGATTTCAGGTCGTGTTATGGCAATTTCTTATTGTTTTAGGCCGTTTTAAGCCGTGTTTTACAACTTTAGGCTAAAGTAAAACATCTTACGGTTAACGTAGGGTATTGTCAAGCAATTTCTTAAAGTTTTAGGCTAGTTTAAGGTCAATTTTTAATGACTAAAACTATCTTAAGGTAGTTTTCGGCCCTTTCAAAGCCATTTTCTGATGTTTTAGGCCATGTTAAGCTAAGTTTAAGCTATTCTTAAGCTATTTCTTATTGTTCTAGGCTAATTTTCAAGCAATTTTCTAAAGTTTTAGGCTAGTTTAAAATCAGTTTTTGAAGTTTAAAGCTATCTTAAGGTAGGTTTTGGCCGTTTACGAGCCATTTTCTGATGGTTTAGGCCTTTTTTAAACTATTTTTTAAAAGGCCATTTGAAGCAACTATCAGCCCATTACCTAATATTATTCCGTGGTTTGCCCATTTCTAACTCAGTTTTATATTATTCATCCCAACTTTAGGTAACAAACCACTTACTTTAACCGAAAACTCGTAGAACAAAGTGAGATTTTCCAATTTTTGGCTTTTCCAATACTTATCAAGCCAAAATGGTTTGATTGTAACAATAACATCAGCCTTTTCATTCACAGCACTTGGCATTGGCGGGATTCGAAGGGCTGAAATTGTAGTAGGTTAGTATAACGTAATATGACAAAAAATTAAAATTTTTATGACAAAATTTATCAAAATGGGTTTAAAAAGACTATTCATATCCTACACAATCTTAGTTTTTATTACAAAATCATAATATAGCGTAGGACATGTTTCATCGTATAAAATGGATTGCGCAGGCTGCAAACGCCAATATTTCTTATAAATTGGGCTTTTAAGGTTAAAAACGACAAGAATAAATGAAAAAAAATATAAAAGTTTTAAAAAATATTTAAAAAAACATTGATTTACCTGACATATAACACAGCCTGACCAATTCAAAGCCGGTGAGCGGGTTTTGACCGCGAGCTGCAGCCGAACAACCATTCGGAACGGAGTGAGCACATTGACAACCAGGCGAACGGCGTTGAATACATACACTAAAACATAATCTTTAAAAACTTTTTTGTGATATTGTTTGTAAAGAAAGTTCTTGCCAGTTTTGATTTGTAAAGAAAGTTTTTTTCATTTTTTTGAGCTGTAAACAAAGTTTTTGTCATATATTTTGTAAAGCCTGTATTTTTAACTTTATTTCGTCCGAAGAAGTCATTTTTACAGATTTCGCACCGTGCAATCGCACAATTGTTTTGCACCGTGCAAAAACTTTTGTTTTTAACACTTGCAATTTTTAAGTCAATTTAGGTAACAAATACTATTCTAATATTTAGATAAGACTAATATAAAGCTATTAAGACCATTTTTACTTTAGTACCTTTAAAAAGAATGACACAATGAATTTTTGAGAAATTATTGCACCGTGCAAATATTTTTCTTTTTTGCACTGTGCCGTTTCAAGATTATTTTAGGTAACAAAGGCTATTTTAACTTTTAGTCTGGGCTAATATGAAGCTATTAAAACCATTTTTATTTTATTTGCTTTAAAAATAATGGCACTATGAATTTTTGAAAAATGACTGCACTGTGCAATCTATAAATTCCATTGCACCGTGCAATGAAATTTATTTTACACGGTGCAGTTCATTATAAAAAGAATAAGCAATCTCTATTTTCCAAAATTCGCCAAAAATAAAATGCTTACCTGTAGCCAGCATCAGTACAATCCCTACAGTCTCGACATTGTTGTAGGTCACCAGTGCTTAGAACAATGTCTTTTGTGCTCTCTGCTGTGACAGACTTTTCGTCACAGAAAAATTCTTTGCACATCCTGGGCTCTGGACTCATTTTCATCAATTTGAAGGATCTGGAAAGAAATTTTTTACCTATTTCAAAAAAAAAATTTTTTTAAATCTACCCTACTTTACCCTACCCTACCCTAAACTAACCCTAAACTAACACTACCTTATCCTACCCTACCCTACCCTACCCTACCCTACCCTACCCTACCCTACCCTACCCTACCCTACCCTGCTCTGTCCTACCCTACACTACCCTACCCTACCCTACTTACTTATCGCCATGTACCACCGCAACCATCAGTACCACCAGGATCAGCTGCATTTTCCGTCGCATCGCAATGACTGAAAACATATATTATAGTAAAAGAAAGTTACAGTACATAAATAACGCGTCAAAACGTCTGAAATTGCACCCAAAAGGCCCATTTTCTCACGATAAATCACCGTTCTGACGTGCCGTTCTTTGACAAAAAACGATTTTTTGAAAAAATATTGGCATTTTGAAAAATATGATGAAAACTTTCTTTACAGAATTAAAAATGGCAAGAACTTTCTTTACAAATCAATAACGGCAAGAGGGGTGAAAAGTGCGTGGAATCCACCCCGGGTCTTGGTTACCACCTACCCAAATAAATAGTTTGCACCGTGCAAAAGTTTTTCGTCTTGCACCGTGCAGCATTTTTTAACTCCTTATAAGTCTACCATTTTTAAACTTACAAAAGCAAAATAATTTTCATAAAAGCCTATCAGCCTGCTTATATTTTACCAACGGTATTATTTTTCAATGTCAATTAAAAACGGCACTATTAAATAAGTTTATATTTTTGCACGGTGCAAAAGATTTTCAGGATTGCACCGTGCAGTATCTTTTAAAGCCTTCTACAATTGCCATTTTTAACCCTAAATAAAAGAACAAAGTTTTAAATCACGTCTGATGGTTTACTTTAAAACTATTATGAATATTATTTCTCAATGTTAACCAAAAATGGCACAACAAAAAAATAAAATTGACTGCACCGTGCAGTACGTTTTATAAATTGCACAGTGCAAAATTGACATTTATATGAGAAGAGTCATCAACACCAAACTTTCAGGATTTAAAACAAAGCAAGAACTTTCTTCAAAAAGCAAAAAATGGCAAGAACTTTCTTTACAAAACAAAAAATGGCAAAAACATTCTTTAAGAGCCAAAAATGGCAAGAACTTTCTTTCAAAAACTATAAAAACCCCTTTTTACAACAAGCAATATGAAAAGGCATTCCTTTGAGTGGTTTTTCAAAATGAAATTCAATCGTTTCGACCCTTTTTTATAAGCCCTAAATTCTTCCGTCTTATAGCAATTTGAATAGAACAATACCTAAAATATGAAAAAGATTTCGTTTTTTCGAAATTTTTGAAATGAAGGATCGTAATTACTACAGTAAAAACAGTCATTGTTTCGTATTCCAGGTATTTTTACATAGTAATATCGTTTTGGGTAACAAATCTTATTGTTTTAGAGATTAAAAGTCTTTTTGCAATGAAATGACACAATAAAAATGATTTTTGAAGTAAAATATATAGTATTAATTACTGTAATTTAGTATTACGATATTTGATGGCTCAAAAAAGCTGTAAAGAAAGTTCTTGCCATTTTTTGATTTGTAAAGAAAATTCTTAACATTTTCATATTTAAGCTTCATAAAAAATGTCATTGCACAGTGCAAAACCATATGATTGTATTGCACCGTGAAACACATTTAAAATTTTGCACAGTGCAATAACTTTTCAAAAAGTCGCCATTATTTTTAAAGCAATCTAAGTAAAATTTGTTTCAGTAGCTTCAAATTAGTCCATACTAAAAGCTATTATAATATTTGTTACAAAATATAATTTAGAAATGGCACAGTGGATAATACAAAATTTGTTGCACAGTGCAAGACAATTATATGATTGCATGGTGCAGTGAAACTTATTGGTTTTAAAGCAACAGCAAGGTTTATGTTATGAGTTAAAATTAAAATGACTTTTTAAAACCGCAAGAACTTTCTTTACATCACCAAAAAATAGAAAAATGACTTTAAAACAGCTAAAAATAGCAAAAACTTTATTTGCAAAACACGAAACGGCGAAAAATTTCTTTACAAAACAAAAAATGTTATGAACTTTTTTTCCACAACCCAAAAAATTACAATATTTCATACTCCCCCCCCACTAAGACGTTAATAACAAAGGTGTTCATATATAATGACTCACAAAAACAAGATACGAACCCATTGGAACGTATGTTCGGTCATTGAAAAACATACGGAAGCTGTGGCCCCAAAAAAGGCATGGGAAAGTTGGCTTGAATAGTTTTTTTTGCTTTGAACACGTCTTAAAACTAGTCTTTTGTTCCAAAAGTTTTTGTGTTTTTTCGCATTTTAAAATTTTTCGAAAAAGACCAACAACCAACAAATACGCAGGAACTTTGTTTACAAAACAAAAATGGCGAGAACTTTCTTTACAAATCAAAAAATGGCAAAAACTTTCTTTACAAAGCAAGAAATGATAAGAATTTTCTTTACAAAATGAAAAATGGCGAGAACTTTCTTCACAAAGCCAAAAATTTTAAAACAACCCAAAAAACCATTTTTTAAATCAGTTATCATAAACTAAGGTGATAACTTGCACCGTGCAAAAAATGAATATGATTGCACGGTGCAGTTATTTTTCAAAAATTCGTTGTGCCATTCTTTTTAATATTAGCAAAACAAAAATAATTTTAATGCCTTTATATAGACACATTCTAAACATTAAAACAGTATTTGTTACCTAAAACACGCCAAAGATTTCCCAGTCCATAAAAAAAATTAGTTGCACAGGGCAGTCATTTTTCAAATATTCATTGTGCCATTCTTTTTAAAACAATCAAAATAAAGTTCATTTTAATAGCTTTATATTGAGCTGTACTAAAAGTTCTAATAGTATTTGTTACCTAATACTAATCAAAAATGGCATAGTGAAGAAGAGAAAAATTGGTGCACGGTGCAAGAAATTAGATGCCTGCACTGTGCAAAGACTTTTATTAATTGCACGGTGCAATGAACAAAAAAGTAGGTTAAAAGTATGAAAATTCCAGAAAAATGGCAAGAACTTTCTTTACATCACGGAAATTGGCAAAAACTTTTTTACAGAAAAAAAATGCTTAAAATTTCAAAATATTCAAAACGTTATTCCCGGAACCCTAAGCCTACAAAACCAGACCAAACAGTCCCTTCATAGCCTCAGGAACTGTCTTATTTCCAGCCGGCTGCACCGCAAAACTCGCGGAAATTGTTGGCCGGAAGCGAAGTGTTTCCAAGTATGTTTCAAGGAGAATAGAACGGCACGTTCAAGTGCACCGTTCTTGTAATTAAAATTGTTTTTGAGGACAATGCAACAAAACATATGATCATAAAACGTCATAACGAAAAGCTTGAAGACATGTGACAAGTGGAATGAAAGTTCTTGCCATTTTTTGGGTTGTAAAGTTCATGCATTTTTTCACTTTTATAATGTCATTCAAACCCTTAAAATTCAGAATGAATTTTCACTGCACTGTGCAGTCACATAGTTTTATTGCACCGTGCAACAAATTTTGCTTCTGTCACTGTAAAATTTGTGACTTATTTTAGGTAACAAATATTATTATAAAATTTAGTTTGGACTAATATATAGCTACTAAAACCATTTTTACTTTTATACCTTTAAAAAGAATGGCACAATAAATTTTTGAAAATTGACTGCATCGTGCAACCCATAAATTCCATTGCACCGTGCAACAACTTTTCTATTTTAGGTAACAAAACCATCGTACTACTTAGTACGCATCAGAATAAAGCTATCAAAACCATTTTTTCTTTGACTGCTTTATAAAGAATGGCATAATGAATTTTTGAAAAATGACTGCACTGTTAAACAGTTTTTCTTTTTTGCACTGTACCATTTCAAGATTATTTTAGGTAACAAATGCTATTATAAAATTTAGTCTAGACTAATTTAAAACTATTAAAATCATTTTTAAATTGATTGCTTCAAAAAGAATGGCACAATAAATTTTTGAAGAATGACTGCACCGTGCAATCCAAAAAATTGCTTGCACATTGCAAAAAAATCGCTTCTTCATATAAAAATTGCCATTTCAAGATAAAACCAAACATTTTTTATGCAAAAAAACTACTTCACGGTAGTGACATTTGACTATCAAAACAGAAATCGCACAAAGAAAATTTTCAATTACATGGTCGCCCCAGGTAATTACTAGATTATTTACTGTTTTCGGCCGCTTTTTGTATTCTCAGCATTATTTCTCGTTCGAACGGTAAAGTAATTATCCGCTCGTGCTGTAGAGTACAAATGATTTCACTGCAAAAATTTTGTTTACAAAATTTTGTAAGTTTTTAGAAGTGGAAGCAAAGTTTTTGCACTTTTTTCGTTTTGGAAGAAAGTTATTGCTATTTTTTGGTCTGGAAAGAAAGTTATTGCAATTTTTGCGTTTTGTAAAGAAATTTCTTGCCATTTTATGTTTTGTAAAGAAAGTTTTTGCCATTTTTTGTTTTTTAACGAAAGTTCTTGCCATTTCTGGTTTTGTAAAGAAAGTTCTTGCCATTTATAAGCATGTAAAGAAAGTTCTCGCCTTTTTTTTCCGGCCCAAAACTACAGTAATCCCTTCATTTTGGTTTTTATATTTTATTTTTTTATTTTGGAAAGAAAGTTATTGCGTTTTTTCGTATGTAGGCACAAAATGGTAAGAACTTTCTTTCCAAGACAAAAAATGGCAAGAACTTTCTTTACAAACCTAAAAATGGCAAAAACTTTCTTTCCGAACCAAAAAATGCAAGAACTTTGTTTCCAGTTTCCAAAACGTTCAATATTTTTTCTGCAAAAACTTTGTTTACTCCAATTTGCGGCAGAAATACTAATAAACACGTCAATAATCAAAAGAATTACAATTAGAATAACCGACGAAAACACACTTAAAGCATTGTCAACAATAGCTAATTACTGTTTACAATCTTAAATCGACAATACGATAAGAGGTTACAAATTTGGACATCAAAATTTCTAAAAATTTTTTTTTGTAAAGAAAGTTCTTGTCATTTTTTTGTTTGGAAAGAAAGTTGTTGCCATTTTTTTACGTTAAAAAACTTTTACAATAATCAAAATACAGTAATCCCCTTCACCTCAAAATAAGATTTTTAAATTTCATTGCACCGTGCAGTCACATAATTTCTTTGCACTGTGCAACACATTTTGTTTTTATCACTCTGCCGTTTTAAAATTATTTTAGGTAACAAATACAATAATAACTTTTAGTATAGA